CGGCGCCGAGGCCGCCTTCGAGGTGGTTTGTGACGGTCAACGAGAGGTATGTCTAAGAAGTGCAGGCGGCGCGTATTTCAGCTAATCACAAGACAGTGTACGGACCGGTTGCTGGGTTGGTGACTGCTTCATCTACACCAACAGCACTAACCGCCTGAACTACCTTGTTGGTGACCAAACCTACACAATTTCCCACTTCGACTCACCCCACTACGTCCTCGGCTACCTGCCTCGCGACTCTCGCATCTACATCGCCGACAAGGACGTGAATGTTGTTTCCTTTGCTCTCTCCTTGGCAGTTGTCGAATACCAAACGCTCATTCTACGTGGCGATCTGGAATCCGCAGACGAACTATTGCCAACAGTACCGAAGGACCAGAACAACAAGATTGCTCGCTTCCTTGAGGGCCAAGGATACAAGGAGAAGGCGCTCGAAGTTGCAACAGACCCCGAGCATCGCTTCGACCTTGCACTGTCTCTCGGCGAATTGCAAACAGCGGTCAGCATCGCCCGCGAGCAAGATACTGAGCATAAGTGGAAGACGGTCGGCGACACTGCTCTCGCAGCATGGGACATCAAGCTCGCGCAAGAGTGCTTCGTTAAAGCAAAGGACCTTGGATCTCTCCTCCTTCTCTACAGCGCCACGTCTGACCAGGCCGGTCTGCGCGAACTCGCCTCGCTAGCCGAGAACGCCGCAAGCAACAACGTAGCGTTCTCCGCCCTCTGGCAGGTTGGCGATATCCCCGCCTGCACCGACCTCCTCGTCAAGACCAACCGCTTTGCCGAAGCCGTCCTCTTTGCGCAAACGTACAAGCCCAGCACTGCCCCTGCGCTCGTCAAGCAGTGGAAAGAGAGTCTCGAGAAGGAGAACAAGGCCAAGGTTGCGAGGTTGTTGGGCTCGCCGCCGGCTGATGGCGAGGGTGACGATGAGATGTTCCCCGAGTGGGAGGAGTATCTGAGGCTGGAGAGGGAGGGTGGGACTGTTGAGGATTTGCTGATTCAGGAGGATGAGGGCGAGGCGGAGGATGCGGCGGAAGAGGTTGTTGAGGAGGACGGGGAGGAAGAAGAGGAGGACGATGAGGATGAGGATGATGATGACGACGAGGACGACGATGAGGAGTAGATGGATGCGGTGTAATGAAAAACGACCTTGACATGCATAGGAGAGTATGAATTCAGAAAACGCAATCAGAAGGTCATTGTTTTATGTAGTTGTTCACGTGCTTTTTTTGCGTTTCGTCGAAGTGATAGTCTTTCAACCTTTGGGAGAGGAGCTCATGAGCTTCTTTACATTCTGCAACCTTGACCATATAAATTTCTCAAAAAAAAATCCACTGATTGTGGGAGGACGTATGTAATCGCCAACGTCAAGCATGGATCCGTACTTCTCAAAGTCATCCGTTTGACCAAGTTCTTATTTGATCGTTTTGGTAGAGACAGCGCTGAACACATGTGCTTTTGGTTCATCATTTTTTAGGCGCGGAATTGTGATGAAGGTGCATACGAAGGAAAAGAAGTAAAATCGACGGGGATTTATATGTCTCAAGCACGAGCACACGCAAGTCGGGAGAGGATATGCAGCAGCCCGGCCTTTTTGGCGAGATATTGGTTTTGCGAAGGGCCGGAAGACATGAAAAGGTCCCACGGCATTTTTATTTCTTGTATCGTTTTCGAGCATGTGGAGTACCTAACAGGACCCGAGAAATAAAAAGAACGGTAATGCATGCTATCCGACCGTGTTAATTTTGGAAAGCATGAGTGGTAGACATGGACATTTTCTTCGCTGAGAATGAGCAGTCGAGGGGAAGAAACATTCGAGTGGCTAGTGGGTTTTTGGAGCAGAAGGAACAATCCCTAATGACATATTTGCGCCGTTTCTTTTGGAGTGTGATCTCAAGTCGAAGAGTTCAATTCTGTCCGCTCGCATACTTCAAGTATGCAGCCCTTTTGGTCGTGTGTGGTTTTATAAACTGATGCCCGAGATCATGCATAGATTGGAAGTAGACTTTTGGAAGGGGCCTGGGTGGCCGGAAGACATATGCAGCTCTTCACAATTTTTTTGGTGCAGAGGAAGAGGACAGTGTTGGTTGAAGGCTTGGGAGAGATGTGGCGTGGGCTTTATAGACGCGTGCGAGCTCGAAGAGTCGGAGAACTCATAGACGCGACTGTATGTCGGTTTTTGGGAAGGACAAGCGCAGAAGACATGGCATCTCATTGCGTGTGGTTTTGACAGGGCCAGAGGACATAGGACCGGGATTTTGGGGTTTTGGGAGAAGAGCAGGTGGGAACATGATCCATTTGCTGTAGATCTTGAAGTCGGAGAATGTAATATTTTGGGTTGGAGTCAAGGGGAGAGGCTTCGGCGACGGGATATTTATAGGCGTTTCTCATGTGTAGAGGAGATTTTCCGGTATTTGCTCTCGTTTTTCCAGAGGATGATTAACGCGCAGTGACAGTTTAAGTTATAGATTCGACCGCGAGAGGGCCTGGAGATGGAGAGTACGTAGCATCATTTGATCTAAATTGGACGTGGCATAGATGGATAAACTGATCATCTGAGTGCAGGTATGCCAGTCCTACAAGCCCTCAGCGTTGCGATTATGACAGTCGTGCGTCCAATCTTCTTCTACTCCAAACCCCAAGTTGCCGATATCAGGCTCTCTTCACCGGAACTCTAATAGCAAACCGACTCATCAATGCGCCAATCACCTGCTTCATCTTCATATACTGCAACACAATCGCCCCCTGAGATGCTTCACTTCCGCGGTCACCCCTACCAACACCTCAACCTTCACCCGGCACACTTCACACCCACATAGCATGTAGTATCTCGCGGCCTCTATTCTCTCTTCTTCTATACCCAGACTCCCGTACAGACAAACACAAACTATCAAACTCACACGCATACTCACTCCTTCTACACCCCTCATATACCCCCTCTATACACCAATCATTACCAAAGCTTCTTCAAACCTTCCCGTGTTCCTCTTTATCTTGCTCTTCTTCGAGAAACCACATAGCTCCCTTATTCTACACACCACAGATCACAAAACCACAATATGAGCGGTACTCCCAGCGCCAGCACAGGAAAGGGAGAGAAGGGAGAGGAAAAGGCTAAAACCTCTGACCCCAACGCTGGAAAAATCTCCAATCCCGCTCTACACGCTATAGCCAGAACTACCAACAAAAGCGCTGCAGATTTAGCAGCACCAAAAAAGAGCGGCCCCTCTATAAATCGAACTCCAACAAGTAGTCCGCGCCAGAACGATGAAGACGCCGCTAAGTTAGAGAAGGAGAGGTTAGCACAGATAAGCAAGAAGCAAAAGATAGCAAAGAAGCAAGAACATAAGAAAATGAAAGAGAGAGAGAAGAAGGAAATAAAGGAGAGAGCGAAGAGGGAGAAGGAGAGTAATAAAGGGGAACTGAGCAAGAGCGGGAAGAAGTGAGTAAGGATAAGGATGAATCGTGTGAAAGAGATGCCCATACGAGGAGCCTGCATAACTACGTAGGCAATTATTTTCGTATCCAGAGATGTAACTTATATTCGCTCTCATTTTGTTTAGTGCAAACAACTGCATGTATTACCGGTCTAGGTTATTTTTGGCTCTGAGGAATTTGCGGGCGATGCGCTTTCTTCACTTCGCAGCTTCAATATATCTTCATTCACACCTATGCTTCCACTGATTACATGTATTCCTCGTATTAACGCGCCGTAGGACGCAACTACTGTTTTCTGTTCTTCAATTCTGGATTCACCTCCACTGCGCCTTAACCCCCAAGCACTTCCCACTTCTCCCTTCACAGCTTCTAAATTCACTTCCTGTCGCATATATATCTCCCCCTTCGGATAAATCCGCCTTCATATCAATCAACACACAGCCTTTATACCCATATCGCGTACACGAATTCCCATACTTCACGCCTCCAGACTATCTATTAGCATTTGCTCGCACATACACACAGACATCTTCACAATTTGGTAAATCTTCAGCACTTCGAGCGCACCATGAGCACTCCTAACCCCAACGGAAAAAAACTCCCTAACGCCGCTCTCTACGCCATGGCTGGATCTTCGAAAATGACCCCCGCAGCTATAGCTGCATCGAAAGGTGGCGGACCCTTCACAAATAAAGGCCCCACAAGTCACCCAATGCAACTGTATAGGAACTTCCAGCCGACGGAAGAAGAGAAGGCGAAGCAGGAAGAGGCGAGACTGGCAAAGGAGAGGGCTAAGAAATGGTAGTCAATAAATGAAAGGGGGGAGGGTGGAGGGAGTGGGGATGATGATGATGCAGGCGGATAGGGAGATGTAATTGTCTCACTTACTTCACTGCGCAATTGAATCCATCCTTATTCCATACGCTGGTTGTTCACGTACTCCCTGTGAACGCGCCACGATACTCAACCGTTTTCCTGTACGCTTCACATATACAGTCGACCCAACTCATTACAATTCTCCATTCAAGACCTATAATTTAACGCCGATAGCATATATAATCTCTTCAGTCTTCCCTCTCCGTCGTCCTCGCTGAACTTCAAGCCTCCAGACTACATCTCAACATCCACTCGCAAATACACACTCTACCAAGCACCACACGCCTACCCAGCAAGCAAAACTAAATCCCAGCAATATACCATGGGTAGCCTCAACGACGATTCGAGGCTTCCTGGCCCGCAGCACTACGCAATTGCGAAATCCACAAACACGACTGTTGAGAAAATGGCCAAGGCGGCAAGTAAAAAGAGCAGTGGCAGCGAGAAGAGCAGCAGCAGCAAAGGCCCAACGAGTCACCCGAGGCAATTGGACAAGAACTCCCCAGAAACCCCTAAGCTTAAGAAGTGAGTGAGCTTGAGAGGCGGGTAGCTAGGGATGATGGAAAGAAGGCGGAGAGGGAGAGGCAGGAGAAACCAGAGAAGTACGAGAAGAAGAAGAAGGAAGGGTTGAGAAAGACGAAGGTAAATTGGGATGGACAATTGGATGAAATAGGTCATACGGTCAACTTGGTCGCATTAGGAACTTTTGTAAATACAGTATTAATCTGAAGGCGATGCGAGGACCTGATGTAGCTCACCTCAACTATGATCCGAATATGCAATACACGCAGTTACATGTAATTGTCTTACTGCTTTAAATGCGACATACTTGTTCTACCCGTCAGTTCATCGGGCTTCGGGTCCCACTGTATATAACCCCTCCACCTTGCCTCCATCATTGATGTCGATATTCCCAACTCAACACTGCAAGTCTACCAACTCCTCCGATGACCCTGCAGTCAAGCGCGCTCCTCTTCACCCACGGGCAGTTCACTTCTGCCCGCGCGCAGTCAAACCAGCTTCTCGTTCAATCACCGTGTGTAAACCTTCACGTCCCTCCCACCAACGCCCCAACACCCCGACTCTCCACACTCGCAGATTCACTGATCTCCAGTATATAAATCCTCCTTGTGCCTTCTCTTCCTCTTTTAATACCTCATGCAAAGCCTTCCTCTTCCACACACAGACTGTCAAACTCACGCAACAAATCATCACACACAAACTTGTCTACACACTACAAATCCGAATCCACGTATAAAAAATCGCATATCCACATTCCATCCACACACCTCCATCGCAATGAGCAGCTCCACCTCCAACCCCAAGAGCACCGCCGCGCGCGCCATGGACAAATCGACATCGAAGGAGAAGATCCACGGCACGTCCAAGAGCAGCGGGCCAACGAGTAATCCGGGCTCACAGAAGAAGGCATCATCGGGGAAGAAGAGTGGAGTAGCCATTGCGAAAGGAGATGAGGTGACGATGCCATATAAGGGATGATTCCATCACATAGTCAAGCAATCAAGTTTGAAGTATTCATGTAGCATTAAAATTCTCACTACCGTTTCAATACAGCTACGTTGCAGCATCCCATAACGCCCATTCCCTAACAATGCCGGGTATGTTAATGGAAAGAGTAAAAAGGAAAAATCCCTGACCACAATGCCAACCCAAGGAAATTCGTTTCAAGGTGGCGGGTATTAAATACAATCATAATCTCCGACGGAGAAAAGAATGGTATCGGCCAGTAAGGTGAAGTTGCCGTGAAGAGGTGTACTTGGTGAAGAATGAGTTGGTGATGTGCTTGAGCGGGTGGTGTGCGAGTAGCGATGGTGGAATGAGACGACTTTAAGATCCAACGACACCTGCAACGACGACATGTGAGGCATTTCAATCATCCTGACCCGGAGAGCCGTCATCGACTTAAGAAAACGTCATCAACTTGTGAAAAGCCCCAGTCAGCGCCGCGCCAGGCCCACGGTACGTCCGGCGGTCTCGACGTATTTGCTGCGGCAGTCGTAGAAAACGGTCCAAACAGCGACGTGTGGCCTTCATTGCCAACGGGCCGCGAGATGATAAGAGAACCGCTGTCAGTTGACGAGCGCTGTTCGTGTGCAGCCTCCTAAGCCTGTTGTATCTGCCGCTGAGATGGATGAAGCATGGGACCGAAGAGACCAGGGGTGTTCGGACGAGATAATTCGCGTCTGGTATTGTCGTGACTAAGCCGGCTCTGTAGAGCTGAAAGACGCCGTGCAAGCGGAGAAAGCTCTTCGGGGGGCAGCGCATCCACAATACTTTGACTAGGTCCAGCGTTTTGGCTCGCACTAGTCACTCACTATCAGCACCTCGCCAACTCAAGCACTGTCAAGACATCTAATGGTACCGCGGCGGAGTTCCCTGGCCACTGGGGACGCCGTTCCCTTGTTGTGGCTGGTACTCCAACTCGCGCTTCATTGTGTCGAGCGTCTGGGGGAAGTAGGGCTCGACGCCATATGTCTTGAGGTAGTTGGCAGTCTTCTCGATGCGCTTAATCTCGCGCTGCACGCTCCACTCTTCGCCCTCGCCGAAGCGGCGGGTGACGACGTCGACCATGGCGGTGTCGAGTCTTGCATAGAAGTCGCGGCGGGCCGTGATGTCGCTTGCATCGGCACTGTCGATGCCGCCGTGTGAGTTGAGGTTGCCGCCCAGCTTAAGAACGAGGTCAAAGGCATGGCGGGGACCTTGTGGCAGCAGAGCTAGCCGCTGGATGTCGGGCAGGAACTTGAGCATTGCTGAAGCGAAATGTGATGATGAGATGGAGTCGTTGAGGTCGTCCTGAAGACGGTGCAAGTCGAAGTTAACGATGGTGATTTTGCGGTCGAGCTGGGCGTTGAGTGCCACGGCAGCGTCCGGTGTAGTGGTATCCATGATCTTGGCGATAGAGGGAGGTACATCTGCAGCAGATTAGCATGTGATTCAGGGACATGATGGGAGGAGGTTCGTACCAGGTCGCAATCCACGCTTATCGATCCAGCCGTGAACCTCTGCGCGCTGCTGCTCGAGCTGGTCGACCCAGGCCTGCATGTCGGCAAGCTGCTGCTCGAGCTGCTCGATCTTCTCTGTGTAGGGTGCAATGGCCTGGTTGAAGGCCGCCGCGAGCAGATCGGGCATGGGCGCGGGCTGCATGCCGCCGCCCATGGCAGGGACTCGGTGGTTCATCTGGGGCGGCATTGAGTTCTGGCCGTTGGACATGCCGCGCGTTGGGAGAGTCGTTTCTTGAGGCTGCTGGGGGCGCGGGTACATGTCGACCTCTTCGGCAGGCGAGGTGGGCTGCTGCTGGTGCGATTCCTTTCGGCTGCTGTCGGGACGAGTCTCTGAGCCGTAATCAAAGGATTGCGAGCGAGGGCCTTGTTCTTCGACGTAGGAATTGGCCTGGGACTGTACTATTAGCTTCTGACGATTTCATGCGCGAGGACAGCGCAACATACCCTTGAGCGCTAAAAACGTTAGTAACGGAACACGATGGATAGCAGACGAGGGGAACTTACACGTTTGAAGAACATTATGAAGAAGGAAGCGGTTGCAGCTGCGAGCGATAGAAGGCGCGATTATATGGCGCAGCGGATGATTGCAAAAAATTACGCGGCTGGGGACGCGGGCGAAGGCCTGCGATTACTTGTAGAGAAAGCCGTGGCTGGTGTTCGGCGGAAGGTGGTTGGGGAGCTATCGGACCACTTTTGACCTCGACTTTTTGTTGTCGCACGCCGGTTTCGTGACTTGGAAATCAGCGATGGTAGCAATGCGACAATTCGATGCACCGAGACGCAATTTATAAAGGCGCGCCGCTGCAGAGATTGTTGTGGTAGCACAACGCTCTGCAATACCGTTCAGAAAGGTGCTGGGAGAGTGAAGCTCGGGCCACGAGCCCCGCCTCCCGAAGTTGGCGTCCTTCGCTACCACCCACCTCCATTGATGTGCTTCCAGCCTTGCCATCGGCCCGTCCTTTGATTCTGCCCTGCTGTGTCACGGTAGCTTCGAGGATGCCGCAAACAACAACAATACGCTTGGATATACGCAGTCAGCAACAGACCAGACATTACCAGACCGCCATGTCGATTTCCTTTGTCCATCATGCCCACCAGCAAGCACGAACACGTAGGCTCTCCACTATTCAACCATCTAGCGTCGGAGAAAGCATATCGATGCGATGCGGCACCAAAGTTGCTGCTGGACATGTATGGATCATAGATGCATTAATCGCATAGTTACCGAAGAACTGGGTATACCTAACAAGCAGACTCTTATTCCGTCTTCCCATTTACCCTCCCATTCGAATCCCCATTAACCTTGCCGTTCCCCCGCACAATAGTCTTCCCTCCAAACTCCACCCCCCTAATCATAACCTCACTCACCAGCTCCAGCCCCGCAACAAACACTCCCAATAAACTCGCAATGACAAAGTGACTTATCGTCGTGCCAATGTCCAACCAGCTGCCCTCGTCCTTTACCATGTAAAAAAAGGACAGCGTCATGACGTCGCTGACTGCCATGACCACCATGAACAGCGCACTTGGGGCGACGCCGAGGCGCATGTTGAGCAGTCCGAACACAGAGCTGAGGAAGGCGAATGGGACCATGAGTTTGACCATGAGCAATGCGCCTTGGCTGAACGGGTCGAAGACGGGGACTAGGCGGTACACGGCGTCCAAACTGAAAGACGAAACAGACGCGATGTTGGATGCGGAGAAGAAGGCGGATTGGATGAAGTAGAAGAAGAAGAGTGAGATGCGGGCATCTGCCAGCGTCAAGCTTCTGTAGCCGCCGTTCTTGATTGCCTCGATTCGACCCTCGACGAAAGGCTGAAGCGAAGACGGTTCCGAGACCTCCACCTGGGTATCAGCAAACACGAGAGAAGCAGGAGCCTCTACTGCAGGTTTGATCGGGTTCGCTGGCGCAGCAGCCTTTGATTCACCAGTCGTGTGTAAGTAGACTTGATGCTCGAGGCGCATCCAGCTGAAGAGACAGAGGCAGAATGCAAAGTAGAACAGGCCCTCGTATGAGATCGTGAGGATGATGAAAGTTGGTGCAAATTGCAGGAATATGACAACGAGACGGTGGACGTAGTTGCTGTTTGGGTAGAACCGATGTAGTTGTGGGATGAAAAACGACACGAAAAGTGTTGCGCGGCCTACTACGAGGACCCCAAGTGGCAGACCTTGTCGGGCCTGGATGTAGCCAATGCTGCTCTTAGTGACAATCATGGAGAGTAAGACGAGTCCAAGCTGAATACTGAGGATGACGCGCGACTTGTCGTCTAGTTCAGGCTCAGCGAGTTCCTCAGTCGGACCGGTCTCTGCAAGGATGCTCTTCTCGAAGAAGAGGTACAGTGCGCCGACGGCGAACATTAAAGCGCCGCCGAGCATGATTAGTGTAGTGCTTTCAGCCTTGTTCGCTGGAAGCAGCGTAAAGGCGCTCATGGTGAGACACGACAGAACCCACGTCGCCACAGTACCAATGTTCTTTTTCAAGAACTCCTGACCGTAAAGCGCTGGCCACGCAGCCGCTGCGACGTAGCAAACAGTGTAAATCTCCCTGGTGAAGTAGCTTTGAACCTACGTCTGCGTTAGTCTATAGGAGCCTCCTGTGCATTTGAGAACGTACCAAAGCCTCAAGGAGTCCAAAGAAACCAACCACTGACAAGACCAGCTTGACAATGTCGGTGCGTGACGAAACGTGCCCGAAAAGACTCCGGCCGCCCTTGATTAAAGACGATCGACGAACGAAGATCTCTTCCCAGAACATGACAGGAAAGAACGCATAAACGTAGTACACTATCGGAGACTGCTGTTTGAACAGTACACCATAAAGTGCAACAAGGACAGAGGAGAAAGCCGCGATACTAGCCGTAGTCCGTTGTGCCGGTACTACTTCAGTGAGCACGTGGATATCGATGACAGTCGTGATGGCGAAGACAATCCAGCCAACGTATCCGAGGGTGATCAAGGTTCGTAGGAACAGCCAGTCGTACGTCTGCAAATACCGCAAACCTTCGAGCCCAAGGTCAATGAGGTCGTAAGTTTGACGAATAGCTTCGTCCGCATTCCCAGCATTGATCGCCTGTTTTATCACAGACACACGATACTCTGCCGAGTGTGTGTCATCGCCTAGTCCCGGAAATGGCTTATATCGTAGCTCCGTGGATTTCTTAATGTCTTCCTTGACATGATACATTTCCAGTATCTCTTGGGCGTTGACAAGGAGAGCTTGCGCTTTCGAAATCGGATCAGCGTCAAGGTACGACAGTGGAACCACACCAACGTTATTGGTGGGGAAGTCAAGTCCGACCAGATATGCCATGAGAGCTGCAACATCCGCCTGATCCACGTCATGACGCTCGATCGAATCTAGATTCCAGTCTGACGAGAATTTGTCTCCGTGTCCAGGGGCTATTCCGGATTCAGTCTTGTTTGGTGTAGCAATCCCAGCACCCCACGCAACGAGCGGCGTGCGCGTGTTATCCGGATGTCCATCTCCATGGCTACCCCAATCGCTCATACCATGGTCTGCTGTAAATACAAAAGCTGTTTTATCGTCATCGTAGAACTCCTCGATGATCTTGGTGATCTCCTGAACTCCGCGATCCACGATTTGTATGTTCTGCAAGTACTGCCACGAGTACGGTCGGTGCGCATGTCCTGTTGTATCCAGTCCCAGCAGATGCAGGAAGAAGACGTTCTTCTCCTGCCTCAATTGCGCATCCAGCGTCGCATTGGTCTTCGCGTCCGCAAACAGCTTCTTGACCCGCTCAAACACCCACTCGTCAAGAACCCAAGCGTCCTTGGAGGAGTCCTCAAACTCAGCTTCGTAGCAGTATGCGTCTACTCGTCCTTCCACCGCGCCTGTGGAGAACATGGGCAAAATGTCCGGACTACCCCAACTCCATGTATGATGGCTCCGGTTGAACACGCTGTCGAAGTTTACAGGGTTGAGCTTCCACCCCGTCGTAACCGCTGATACATCCTCGTATAGACCTGCAATGAGCGCAACGTGTCCCGGTCTCGATTCGGTAGGTACGCGCGTATGCGAGACACCGAACGTGCCGCTCTCGAGGACTTTGGAGCGGAGGAAGGGCGCAAGAGGGCGTGGTTCGCTCGAGTTCCCGGTGAGGGGTGTTGGTGGATTTGGGTCCGGATCTGATGCGATCGAGTTAGATTGAAAGAGGAGAGTGTATAGAGAAACTTACCTGGAAAGCTTTGAAAGGCTTTGTCCGCCCGAAGACCATCCCCTTCTCCCATTAGCAAACCCTCATCTTCCCTCCCCAACGCATCCACATACCAACATACAGCACCAATCGCTTCGCCGGCGCCTGCATCTCCACCTGATGCTCGCGCATCCCATGCACAATCGGACTCGTGAAGTAAATTGAGAAGCACTGTCCCCGAATTAATTCCACCTTCAAGACTCCCAGCGAATTGCACTACTTACAGAGTATATGTACACGAGATGGAAAACCACCGCGAGCAGCAGAAACGCGTACCGCCTGAGCTGCGCCATGGTGGATGTGTGAAAGAGCGGATGTCTCGCGAGGAGACGGGGTGCTTGTGTGTGTTGGACTGGGGCACCAAGATGGTTCAAGAGGACGCGACCATGAAGGTGTCCCTGCCAAGACCTGCGGATTTGTGCCGCTAGGTGGCTTCTCCCTTCCTAGGCCACCGGTGCGGGAACTTGGTCCTGTGAGGGGGTGGACTTGAGCGTCGCCTAGATATAATTCATTGTATTAGACACACATCGCTTTTCGAGTGCCAATGCGCGGGGTTTGGTGGCATGAGTAGAGATGATGGTGCGCTGTCCGAAAGAGGAAACACCGAGCTCCGCAATTATGATTTGCTAGGATGGACCGATGCAACATCACCCAGCAGTAAGATCTGGCTTTCAATCTATCTCCCGCTTGCAAACTACCAAGTTCTACTAACAGCAATGAACGAGCATTCCAGTCACTCTGATATACTGCAGTCTACTCCTCGACATTGAAGTTCGCGCCTTCTCTCAGGCCCTCAACAACCAGCTCCTGGCCTTCAGCACGCTTGTATATGTCCTTGATATCATCTGCAGATTCGTTAGCATCAAACTTCACTCGATTGAGTACTCAAACTTACCGGTGGTGGTCTCGAAGTGGCTTGTTGCGTCGTAGCTCTTGGACATGAAGATGTTGTCGTTTTCACCACTCTCGAGCGGCTCGTACAGTGGAATGGGCTGGCCGAGGAACTGCTCTTCGATCTTTCCGAGGCGATCTAGACCGGCCTTGAGCTCAAGGTGGTGGTTGCTGTCCGACTCGGCAATAGTTGAGACGATGGCAATGTAGTAACCCTTGGGGCAGACGTTGTGTGCGGACGAGACAACGGCAATGTAGATGTCTGTAAGTGATCAGTAAAGAAAATGTGTTCGAGCATCGATTTACTTACCGTGCTTGCGTCCAACCTGCGACTGGGGGATAATCAGCTGCAGGGAGTCGGCATCGGAAGTGTTGGGGATGGGGTGGTTTAGGATGCAAATGGCCTTGATGAGATGGCCAGTGACGCGCGCCTTGCTGGGGAAGTATGAGGGGTCGGCGAGAATCTTCTTTGCCTTGGTCTCGAACTTCATGCCGGGACCGGTGTCATCGCGCTCCTTCATTGTAGCCTTGATACCGACGACTTTGCCTCCCTCGTAGAGGAACTCGTCAACATCGGTGTTGAGCATGTAGGTACCACCGTAGATGGCAGAGAGGCGCGCGAAGCCCTGGGGAAGTTCTCCCAAACCGTAAAGCGGGTAGATGTATGGGGACTTGCCATATCGGGCCATGGAGTTGACGTATAGTCGGATGCGCTCGATAGCATCGTTCGTGGCGCCCTTCTGCTCGATGTAGTCGTCGGTCGGGTAGAGAGCCATGGAGTGGCCTACGAAGTCGCGAGTGGTAGCCTCGAGGCCGAACTTGTCGTATACATCCTTCATGGTGATGTTCTTGATATCGAGGCCTGTAGTCGTTGGTGAGTCCACTATGCATAGATTGCAACGCATCGTTTACACATACCCTTGTGTGTCGCTGGGTCTTCCTCCTTGTATGCGCCGATGAACTCCAGGAAGTTCCTTGCTCGTCGCTTCTCAAACAGCCCCATCAAGGGCGATCGGAGAGCCTCGCCAGCATCTGATGGCACCTTTGCGACGGTCGCCTTCGCGCCGTTGCCTTGCTGGACGTAGCTACCGGCAATCTGCTTGAACTCGAGGTACTTTGTGACGTCGGTCGAAACGAGGATGTTGGTGAGCTCTCCGTTTGCCATGAGGAGCTTGGGGACGAGGTCGATGTTCCAGTCGTTCACGCGGCCGTACTTGTTCCATGGCTCGCCTTCGGTCTGTCCGTATCTCTTGAAGAGCTATGATGATGTGAGTGTGTATTCATATCATAAGGGGACATGTATACGTACAGCTTCGATATTGAGAGAGGCCGCCTCACTGCGTCATGTTAGCTCTTTGTACTCAAGGTTGCTTGTCAAGGTACTTGCCCGCCATAGTGGTCGTTACGGTCAATGTGAAGGACTTTCTTGCCCTTTACACTGAGAACACTGAAGATGTGTTAGCTCTTCGTCTTGTCGCAAAGGCACGCGCGTGTTACCCTGAAAGCACACATTCAGTGAGACCTGCGAGTTGTTAGCCTTTGATGTCCGCGGCAGTTCAGCGGGGTAGTCCCACCTGTTCCCAGCACTACAACGTCGTACTCGGGCGCGATCTCATCCATGATTGCGGTTTAGTATGTGCGAATGAACAGTGGGATGAGGGGACTGTGTGTTGTTTACTGAAGCTTGGTGGCAAGTGTTGGCGGTGTGAAGTGCCTGTATGCGGGAAAGCGGTGGGGGTTCATCGCTGTAGCTTTGGACTAGTGCCGTCTTGAGGCTCCTCGACTTTATGCACTGCACATCTGTGATCCACCCGAGCAATAATGCCTGCGCTTGGGTCAATAGATAATCCTGTTGGGCAAGTGGCATCTTCCGCGAGGGAATCCGCAGGTAAGCAATATGTTGATGCATGCATATGTTCCTCGTTGTACAGCAGCTCGAATAGCTGTTTGCGAATGGTATTGTACAAGTATTCGTATCTCTAAGAGGTCTCCGTCGCCATGTTATGCCTCGCAGTGCACTATGCAGTGACTATATGCCAGCCTTCAGACAGCAAATGCTGGCCTACTCCGACGTGACCAAAGCTCTCCAGTGTGTATTCCGCCACTCTGCAAGTGACGCCTTCCTGCGGGCCTAGATAATATCCTAACGCCGTATGAGGAGTCGCTATGATCGAATATTGCTCGGTGGGTCGGCGACGTCTGGTTCGAAAGCGTCCTAAGAAAATGTTAGCATGATGACACCCCAAGACGTAGTGTGTACACACATAAGCTGGCTCGACGAATTGCGGGCCGTCTGTCCTCGACAAGTCGATACTTGGGTCCTGCTTGGCAAGCTCAACTGCCTCCATGTATGCCTGGTGTCGCTCAGAAAGTGTATCCAGGATGGCCTTCATCGTCTCCTGCACAACCGTGTCTCGGTCTTTGTTTTCCTGATCACCATAGCCAGCGTCAAGACGTGCCCGCTCAATCTTCTCCGTCGCCAGGCGGTTCCGCTCCTTCACGCATACCCACCATAATTGGTGCAGTGCATCCCAGTCTTGATTGCGCAGTTCGCCTACAGTCCATGCTCGGCCTGTGTCATTGTCAGCCATTGGCAAGAGCCGCAACCGCTTGACAGTCCATACCGTGTCTGCTCTCGTCGACAGGCGTCTGAATGAGCTTCTTGTCCTTGAAAAAGTCCCACAAGCCATGGTCCGGCGTGCCTGTGACTTTCTCTGTGATGGGTACTGGCTTCGGTGGCTGGTCCCCAGACCCCTTTTTAGATAGGACAGAGAGTGTCTGCCTCTTTCGAAGACCTGTTCCCCGTACTGCTGACACTCCTCTGTTGGAGTTATTGTCCTTTTTGCATCTTATGGGCGATGTTGAGAATCGTGCGGCGGGAGCACTGCGCATGCACTGGGCGGAGGGAACGAGGAAGGCGAGGACTGATCCGGTCGTCCTAATTGATGCTGCACCGGGTCGCATTATTCGAGTGTGTATGGTAGCCATTGTGTTGCTAGACTGCGCCTCGTTGACTGCGGGCGGGAGGATATGCGCCTGCTGCGGATCGCTGCGCCAAAAGTTGACAACTGTGGCCCGTGCACGACCGACGGAAGTGACGATGGAACCCGACCAAATTCGATTCGAAGAGTTGACTTGTTGACCGAAAACATTCAGCTACGAGGAGAAAGAAACAGGTTCTTCCTATTACGTTCACTGCGTAGCGATGCGATACCTCGTGCTACTACATATGCTACTACATATGCTGTTGTCGCGGCCTCGTAGTTGACAACATGCAGCAAGCAGTCATAGGATCACGCCTAGGGAAACATACTCTGTGTAGAATGGAAATCGTAAGTTTGCGCGCGAATATAACCAATTCTGTACATCCGCATGTGAACTTGCGTCACTTGCTGTGTTGAGTTACATGGTCCGTCTCCACTAGGCTTGTAGGACGCGGAACAGGGTAGCCTGGCTGACGGACTGCCGCTCAGCCCTCTTTCATATAAAGCCTGAGGCTTCCCCACCAACTCCCTTCCTTTCTCCTTCACCCCAAAGCTCCGCGCTTGACACCCCGTGTTGGGCGCCCTTCGCTGAACAAATTTTCTTTGAAGACTACCTCGATTTCACCAGCGGGTACCAGGACCCGCAGTTTACAATACAACAATGCAGCAATCAAACGCCAACATGCGCTTCGCTCCAAGCAAATCCGTCTTCGTCTTCTGGCAGCCAAGCCAACTCAGTGGACGCTCAAGACGCCTATGGTAGTGGTAGTCAGCCTATCAACTGGGACTTTGCGTTATTCTCCAACACCGACACTGGCAACCTCGTCCCAGAAACGACTTCGTTTCCGCTTTCTTCTTCGGCCGCCTTGACGGGCACTCTTACTTCACACGATTTCTCGCTAGACAGTTCCACGGACTGGAATGTCTTTCCTTTCCCATCCTCTTCTGGACCTTCGCCATACCTCGGCAATGACTCACAATTACTCACGGGCGGAGCCATGCCTTTTACGACCTCTACCGACTCTCTCAACACTACGGCTATAAGTACTGGCATGGAGACCCTGCACAGTGCCCACTTCTCCACTTCCATGGTGAAAGGTAAGAAAGATCTGCATACATCTATCTGCTTAAGACTAATTTGGTGCAGAGCATTCATCGTCAGGATCATCTGCAGGCCACCGGACGCACGTCTCTTCCTCGCCAGAGCAGTCTTATTCGTCTCGACACACCAGTTCAAAAGCCAGTCCTCTTGCTCCTGAGCCCTCGAAAATTGAAAAGCGCAAAGCCAACACAATGGCTGCGCGCCGCTATCGTCAGAAGCGCGTCGATCAAATGAGCACTCTTGAGTCCGAACTCAAGGACGTCAAGACCGAGCGTGACGACCTCAAAGTACGCTGTGCTAGGCTCGAAGGCGAGGTCGAGACGCTTCGTGCATTGCTCCAGTCTCGCAGCTAGTTTTCTTCATTGTCAGCTTCTCTTCTGTCATGGTGTTCGCTTCAATATGGCTGTATGAGACCTCCTTTCAGACGATGTCGGAAGTTGCTCGCTCATTGCACACCTGTTCAAGGCAGCATCAGATCGGCAAAGTAGATTTTAATCTCTGAGGCTATTCGGGATAGGTTATGGGCACTCACACAGTACTGAGGATGTATGTAGTAATGCGATGTCGGTTTTCGTTCTACTGATCTATCTACTCTATAATTCTGCGGCTACATTTTGTACTTGACTTCAACCATCCTGGCATCACGATTGCTCATAATGAGCTCTCTCAGGCGGTGTCCATATAGAACCGCATTCACTCTCATCCGCAATCATTCTGATCAAACTCACCATCATTCTCTATCATCGTGAGTCGAGTTCTGCGCGACACTGGACTCGGATACGGCAACGCTGACAGTCCGATGTTGAGTGGGGCATGTAAGCTAGCGCACATAATCAGGTTAGACTGAAATGAGTCATATTTGGTCATTCTGAGCAACAGTGAGATGCACCTCCACAACCGTCATTGGCAAGTCTGGATGCAACATGCAAGCCCTTCTGGAGTCGATCAGATTGCAGCCATGATCCACCAAATTCCTGTCACCGGCCCTCTCGATAACTCCCGAGCAGAGCTATCTTCTTCTCCGGCTACATTAAACAAAATGCGGCGACGACAAATTCAGCGATGATAATCTTTCATTTTCTTCGCAGAAGGTAGCTGAACCCATGAAATTTCGGGCTGCCCGAAGTCTTACGCACGAACAGTTCCTGTACGCACGAACAGTTCCTTTCGTTTGCTTTGCAGAAGGTAGTTAAACCCATGAAATTTCGGGCTGCCCGAAGTCTTACGCACGAACAGTTCCTGTACGCACGAACAGTTCCTTTCGTTTGCTTTGCAAAGGGTAGTAAAACCTATGAAATTTCGGGCTGCCCGAAGTCTTACGCACGAACAGTTCCTTTACGCACGAACAGTTCCTTTACGCACAAACAGTTCCTTTACGCACAAACAGTTCCTTTACGCACAAACAGTTCCTTTACGCACAAATAGTTCCTTTCATTTGCTTTGCAGAAGTCTTTGCAGAAGGTTGTTAACACATGGAATTTCGGGCTGCCCGAAGTCTCACGCACGAACACTGACAGAACGTAGTTGAATCTATGAAATTTCGGGCTGCCCGAAGTCTCACGCACGAATACTGACAGAACGTAGTTGAACGCATCAAATTTCGGGCTGCCCGAAGTCTTACGCACGAACACGAACAGTTCCTTTCATTTCCTTTGCAGAAGTCTTTGCAGAAGGTTGTCAACGCATCAAATTTCGGGCTGCCCGAAGTCTCACGCACGAACACGAACAGTTCCTTTCGTTTCCTTTCTAGAAGTCTTCGCAGAAGGTTGTGAACCCATGAAATTTCGGGCAGCCTGAAGTCTCACGCACGAACATAAACAGTTCCTTTCGTTTTCTTCGCAGAAGTCTTCGCAGAAGTCTTTACAGAAGTCTTTGCAGAAGATTGTGAACCCATGAAATTTCGGGCAGCCCGAAGTCTTACGCACCAACCATCCTTTTTATTTTCTTTGTAGAAGTCTTTGCAGAAGGTTGTGAACCTATGAAATTTCGGGCAGCCCGAAGTCTCACGCACGAACTATCTCTTTCGTTTTCTTCGCAGAAGTCTGCAGAAATCTTTGCAGAAGGCTGTGAACCCATGAAATTTCGGGCAGCCCGAAGTCTCACGCACGAACTATCTCTTTTGTTTTCCTCGCAGAAGTCTTTGCAGAAGGTTGTGAACCCATGAAATTTCGGGCAGCCCGAAGTCTCACGCACGAACAATCCCTCTCATTTTCTTCGCAGAAGGTTGTCAAAGTATGACATTTCGGGCAGCCCGAAATCTCTTGCACGAACAATCGTCAAGGAGATAGGCTTGCCCTTTTTGAAATCTTAGCCGCCTTTTTTCTACATTCACTCATGCGCTGTTTGTTCCCTGCCATTGCCGCACGGCTCAATGGATCTGTGAGGTCAGACAGGTAGTGCATCCTGCAACGAAACATATGCAGGATCGATCTTGTGTATGATCGCATCACGCTGAGTTTATTTTGAGCAGAGACTGTTCATGACAACGTCTCATGAGGCCATGGAGATGTCTGCTACTTCTGCGGAACCATTCAGGGATTTGCTTCCTAGGTACCGCATACTCTGGTGAAATTCGATTATACTAGGCCTATTCAGGAAGTCGCTGAGGGCCTATCAGATCAGTCCTGTGAGGCCTTTTACTTTAGATATTCCTAAAAATAATGCTGAGTGAAGAGTTTTGGGCCCAACGGAGCCTTCTGGTAGGCCTCAACGACTTCCTAAATAGGCCTAGCATAATCGAATTTCACCAGAGTATGCGTAGGACGTCAAAGTCCTTGACACCTTCTTGACATCTGCATCATCACGACAGCCCAAACAACCGTTGTTGTCGACATTTTTGAAGTAGCCCAAATGTCATGTTCTGGAAGCGAATGGAGCGTCAGTATTCTCCACGTCCACACATCTCCCTCCACAGGGCGCGGCTGTTCCTAGGTCCGCGTTTCTGAACTACATACGGGTTGACAGTTGTAACAGACAACAGGCAGTAGCTAGCCTAGATCTGTCTGTCTCACTGGTTAAACTCTATCTTCTTCCACCTTTGTTCGATCTCATCAGCCCTAATCTTCGACGCCCTACCGTTGCATGGCTGGGTTTCACGTCTCGGAGCTAAGCACAGGTGTGCGCCCGGAGTACACACGGATTATCGCGCAATCGTATTGTCATACGGCATTGTGGATGCATATTTGCTGCGTTTATCAATGCCAATGTATGAACCATCCAGAATCAGACTCGTTTTCCATGCTCTCAAATACCAGATTATAGCCTCTCTCAACCTTCCGCGCCCAAATAGGTAGGTCAGAAAGACAAATGACCTCTCGATGGGATCCAGCACGACTGCACCAGACTTCTCGTCTTGAAAGTATATGAATACTCCACGAAGGCGGATATGATACATCCTGGCACATGCAGGTGATCACCACAGGCACAGTTTCAGCCTCAAAATCTCAGACACCGACCACATCCCGGCTAAAAGTGGATCCATGGCAACGCACTTCCCGAAGCCGCCACATCATGCATACGGTGCAACCACTGGGCTCTTCCATGCGATCTTTTGCTGAATTGCTTGCGTTCTTCAACTGTGCTACCATGGTGCAACGATGAGCCATTCGCGCTAGCATGCTTCACATGCACAAAAGTTCAAGAACTGCACCATTACAAACGGTTTCGCGTGGATCAGCTAGGCACATCTGGTCATTTGTGCTGATCCTCTACATCACTACAGTGCATGTCCGCGCCTGTGGATACCTCGGCGGAATTACGCAACGGCTGCTGAATGCGTTCATGCATTGAGAACGTTATCACAGGAACAATCGAGGCAAATCAAGATACGTGAACTGTGGTTCTAACCTGTCAGTATTGCAGTCAGTTCAGAATCCAAAAAGCCATACTATCGGTATATGTATTGTGGCAATAAAAGCATGCACGATCTTCCTTCACACACCTGCAGCTATGCGAACATGGAGTTTGCATGATCACCAGCCCCCGCCTAGGTTTCGCTCAGCACACCCAGCGGGAAACTACGGGAACTGTGGAACACTCCGTCTCCTGGTGCAGAATCCGGGGAAAAGGCTGGATGCCCGCATGGATGATTCCTGCTCTTAACTCATAGTCTGGGCACCTTACGTCTGAGTCTACCGTCCCTTCTTTTCGTTCGCTATTGTTATCAACGTCTGGGCGTCCCGAACCACGACTCGTTCATTTCCATGTTTCTTAGATTTGTCTTTTGATTCTGGCTACTCTTCTCACCGATTGAGCTGCAATAGCTCATACACATACGCCATGTACCTGCGACCAGGTTTTGTGGTGGTGATTGTCGGCGCGACATTGACGTCGTTGTCGACAATTATCTTAGCTCTACGGTTTGTTCTATGCAACGATTGACTTGGCCATTCTGACATCAATCGTAGATACTACTGTCGACATTTCATCATGAGATCTATGGGAGCATCAGATCATCTGATGCTTGTTGCTTTGGTAGGCTTACTCTACGCCTTGCCTCGATCTGTACTCACGGCTCATAGATCATTACCTGGGGAAACTTCGTCATCAACTACTATCAAGATGAGACAAGCAGCCACTTTCGCCCCAGTTGGCTACGGATACCGGTAAATCACCTTTTTGAATTCCAACCAGCCTCCTCTAATAAGCCTTTAGGAGAAAAGAGAGCAGTTCCTAGTCGCGCTTCGCGGCACCCTTATCACATGGTGGCTGTACCGCACGACCTACATACTAGCTCTCGGCTTCGTTAAGCTCAGTATCCTCTTCTTCTACCGGACATTCGCCTCGACTCGCACCTTCCGTTACTGCGTCCATGCAACTATAGCCTTTGTCAGCATGTACACAGTCGGAGCGGCAATCGCGTCTACTTTCCAGTGCCGAAATCCATCCGATTCGTTTTCCACCGACGGCTACCTCGCGCAATTCGATCGTAACCCTCAAACACAAGCACCGAAATCCCAGTGTTACGATCCGATCAAGCTTTGGGTCTTCTCCGCAGTAGCTAATCTTACAAGTGATGTATTCATCATGCTCCTACCCATTCCGGCACTGCTAAGCCTCCGGGTGCCTATGACCAAGCGACTTGCACTCATTGGCATCTTCTCGATCGGGATCATGGCCATTGTTGCATCTTCTATCCGTATGTGGGTCATGATGCTATGGGCAGAATCGTGAGTATTCCTACAAGCGTATCACAACAATCACTAATCTATTCACGCAGACCTTGGAACTCAGCAAAGTTCGGCGCTGACCTCTTACTCTGGGGCCAAGTCGAGACTAACAGCGGCATCATCTCGGCATCCGTGCCTTTTCTTCGAATGCTTTTCATCAGCAAGAAGAAAGAGGAGCGCGGCGTGTCAGATCGAAGAGTGGTGGGTGCTAGTCCGGTCAATCCCATGCGCGTCGGACCCGTCAGCCAAAATCAACCGCTGGAGAAACCCCTCGAGGTCGATACCTGGGCTGTAGCAGAGACGGAGAAGCGGGGAGGTCCAGCATGGGGGCCGTTCATCACCGTACCGGAAAGTCTAAGTTCAATAGACAAGAAGAGTATCGAGTTGGATCACGAGAAGCGACATCATCCTCTCGAGACAGTCTAGGAAGAAGTCTGCCTCTGTATTTGTAAAACACATCAGCGTGCTGATAATGTATGGTCAACGACGGGATCGTTCAGCGTGGTAGCGGGCTACTGCGCCGCTGGCCCTGATGATACCCATGGTCAGTCTACGATATTTCTGCTTTTGGGAGAAGTCATTAACAGTATAGCAGACGTTTGACAGCAGGACTGCAATTAGCTGCACCTTTGATTGCTGGCTCATTTGGAGGAAATAATTTCGTAATCGCTCGCTATAAGACAGGCTTCAAGGAAGCATTTATGACAGTATTAAATTCTTGTTCATTACTCTTTGAAGCATACCGGGCCTTGTTCTCAGTCACGGCCATTTACACTTTCTGCGGCGGTGATGATCGCGGACTAGATTGCAGGGAATCCTCGCATGGCAAAATGTGTTGACCCTGGTTGGCAAGACTGAATCCTGCGACAGGTCGCGTCGGAGGCGAACAAGTCCACAGATTCGGATTTGAAACAGAACAAGGTTGGTAGAGGACGGATTACGTTCACTGCATCCGACAGCAAGTCGCGTAGTACAAGGTCCACATACTTGTGATCATGTTGAATGAGGCGCCACATTGCGCGAGACAATCAACAACTAATCGAATCCACCGGACCCATCTTTGACATCATCTCATGTAGTTCTTAGAACGCGAAGCGTGTCAGCAAGGCTGTGAAGTGCAGGGATGGGGTAAACTCAAGACCAGTCCGAAAACGGCAAGACCCTCGGCGATGATGGCTGACGCTGTCAGACACGACTTTAGTATACTTGGTAGAGCGGGCTGCAATGGGGCCGCGTTCACGAGCGCTTCACTTGCACATACAGAACAGCTATTCCCTTACCGCCTGCGTGCTCCAGTATACACGTGCGGTTGAAGCTATCACACCACTGCCTGCACCTTCCCCACCTATGCGGACATAAGAAGCACCGCAACCGTGGCGCTCACTCGCTCCTACCACACGCTCCTGTTCGCTACCGTCGCCCTCTTCATCTCTATCGTCGCCATTCTGGCTTCTCTGCGACTCGGCGTGCGGCCCCCGTCTATTATACAGTACTTGAAGCCGAATCCGCTGCGAGAATCCGTTTGCACAGGCGTTTCGACCGCTCACGAATTCAACCATGGTGCGGGAATCTTGACATGTGCTCTGCTATGTTACTGAACTGACATGATTGATAGGCCCCGACTCAGTACAAGACACCGCCACAGCTGCCGCCCAAGTTCACCGCGACGAAGCAGAGCTTGATCGAGGACACGAAGAAGCTGGTATGTTGAGGCTATGCGCGCGCTGCACCCCACAATGAGGGGTGGTGGAAGGCCAAACTGACATGGCGCAGATTGACAGATCACGAGGCATTCAAGATGCCATTGTCCGCGACGTGAAGCCCGACACCGCGAGCTTTGCAAACGTTATCCTCCCGATTGCCCACGATGACAACAAAATGGCTATTGAGTCGCACATCATCGGCTTCTACAACGCCGTGTCCACCGACAAGGAGCTGCGCGATGCGTCCAGCGAGGCAGAGCAATTGCTCGACGACTTCGGCATCGAGTCCTCCATGCGCGAGGACGTCTTCAACCTGGTCGATGCGGCGCTCAAGAAGAAGGAACAGCTTGACCCCGAGTCGCAGCGCTTGCTCGAGAAGGACCATAAGTCGTACATTCGGAATGGTCTGAGCTTGCCCGCGGGCCCCAAGCGGGACAGGTTCAAGGAGATCAAGCAACGGCTGAGTCAGATCAGCATTGCTTTCCAGAAGAACTTGAACGAGGAGAATGGAGAGCTGTGGTTCACACCGGAAGAGCTACATGGCGTGCCGGAGGATGTCATTGCGACTCTGAACAAGGGCGAGGGCGACAAGGAAGGCAAGCTGAGGCTTACCTTCAAGTACCCAGATCTGTTCCCCACGCTAAAGTACGCGACGAATGCGGAGACGCGCAAGACGGTCATGACTGCGAACGAGAACAAGTGCAATGACAACGTTGCCCTGTTCCGTGAAGCCATCCTCCTGCGCGACGAAGCTGCTCGCATCCTCGGCTACGAGAACCACGCACAGTTCAGGATTGAGGACAAGATGGCGAAGACACCCAAGACTGTGAACGACTTCTTGGCAGACTTGCGCAAGCGTCTGGCGCCGGGTGGAAAGAAGGAGATTGAGAAGCTGATGGAGTTCAAGAAGCAAGATGTCAAGGAACAGGGTCTTACTGGTCCTTTGGCTGAGGGCTACTACCTCTGGGACCACCGGTACTACGACCGCCTGATGCTGGAGAAGGACTACCAGCTCGATCACCAGGTTATCGCAGAGTACTTCCCTCTCCAGACCACCATCCAGGGCATGCTGAAGATCTTCGAGGAGCTTTTCGGTCTTGTTTTTGTCGAGATTGTTGGCGAAAAGGACCGGGCAGCTCTTGCAGAAGGTGGCAAGGGTTCGGATATTGTCTGGCATAAAGATGTCTCAATCTTCAGTGTCTGGGATGATGAGGGTGAGGGCGCTGGCTTTGTCGGATACCTCTACCTTGATCTCTTTCCTCGTGACGGCAAGTACGGTCACGCTGCCAACTTCAACTTGCAGCCTGGCTACATAGATGAGAACGGCAAGAGGCGGTACCCGGCGACTGCGCTGGTCTGCAACTTCTCAAAGCCGACACCGAAGAAGCCATCGCTGCTGAAGCACGATGAAGTTGTTACCCTCTTCCACGAACTTGGTCACGGTATCCATGACTTGGTTTCACGAACAACCTACGCCCGCTTCCATGGCACCAGCACTGTGCGCGACTTCGTTGAGGCGCCATCACAAATGTTGGAGAACTGGTGCTGGACCCCGTCTCAGCTCCGCAGCCTGTCACACCATTACTCATACCTGTCTCCTGAGTACGAAAAGGCTTATATTGAGTCTTCGGGCTTGGAAAAGAAGCCTTCCGAGCAAATTCCCAATTCGCTTATCGCCAACTTGATCAACACCAAGCACGTTAACGATGCGCTGTTTAACTTGAGGCAACTGCACTTTGGCACTTTCGACATGACTGTGCATCAGCCAGCCAGCCACGAGGAACTCAAGAAACTCGACATTACTGAGACCTACAACAAGCTGCGAAACGAGATCAGCCAGCTTAATGGCCCTGAGGCGCTTGACGGCCCCACCAAGGGTGATTGGCACTGGGGCAACGGCCAGGCCACATTCGGTCACTTGATCGGTGGCTACGACGCTGGGTAAGTCACTTTCATCCCTCTCATCATCGTTTGACATTCACTAACATGACAACAGTTACTACGGCTACCTCTCCTCGCAAGTCTACTCCACCGACATGTTCTACACCGTCTTCAAGGCGGATCCCATGAACGGCAAAGAGGGCCGACGGTACAGGCACACGGTCCTCGAGCGCGGCGGAAGCAAAGAGGAGATGGAGATTCTGGAGGAATTCCTCGGACGCAAGCCAGAGACGGAGGCGTTTTACAAAGAGTTGGGGATTGGTCAGTAGATAGTAGATGATTGGGGGTATTAGCGATGCATTGCATGTGAATACGAATAAAGATATGTGAACATTACACTGCTAGTATTGACTTTGGTGATGCGAGTGATACGGAGAAGCTGACAGCGCACATGACATGTCGTCCCAGCCAGCGACGTGACTGAACAACACATTTACATGCAAGACCTTCTTTCTCTCCTCACTGCGTCTCCTTCTAACTGCGCCTTTACATACCTCTTTCTAACAAACTCACCAGCATGCCTAACCCCGTCATCAAACCCTTCTCCTAGTTCACATCGTCCCCACATACTCCCTGCGCGGTGGTCAAATGTAAAAGCATAGTCAAAATACACAGTGAAGGTAGGAGTAGCGGAGGTAGCCTTTGCAAACGACATGAGAGGGGAATTAATTGATTGGGGCTGTGAGCGGGATGAGTTGGGATGTGTTTGTTGATCAGAGGGTAGTTGGTTTGATGGACGGGTAGAAGAAGAGAATGATAGAAGAAAGGGAGAGGGGAGAAGGTGTATACGAGGGATTCAGAAACGGTAGATAGTGACATCAAGAGTGAGAGAAGTGGACGAGTCATAAAGTAGATCTGGCCTTTCCCGCCCCAAAAGTACTGCAAATACGATAAAATTAATAGGCGTCTCACTTCAGTCATGATATCCATCCCTACACTTCATTTCACAGAGACAAATCTACCATAGGCCCTTTATCGTGGAAGCTGCGTGTAAACTCACTTCTTGCCCCCGTCTTGCGTTTTCCCGTCGTATCTGGGATACTCGCGTACTTCGCCCGCGCGAAGGGGCTGGCCTCGCGCGTGGTACGGATCGTTCGCCTGGGGCGGCGTAGTGCCCTGTTGGACTACGTTCTCGCGGGGGCGGCGGAAGTCAGATCTTTGGGTGTCGTAACGTGTTGAGCCCATTGTTGTTTTGCTTGATGAAATGAGTTTGGGGCTGGTTGTGTATGTTTACGGAGCTGTGTGATGAGAATGGACAGATGGGTAGTTTGGGTAAGGAGTTACGAGGAGAATCAAGTGAAGAAAGTATAAGGAGGGGGTTTATATGCTGTGGAAGGTGAATCATAGGGGAGGTGAAGAGTTGGGGTGCGAGTTGTTTGGCTTCATGCTGGTGTGCTGTCTATTGAGTGCGCAAACTGAGTAAGCTCTGTGAAGATTACGCGGTGCGTTGGAGTAAGACTTCAAGTAAGAGATCTGAACAAAGTGTAAGCATCGGCGGTGCATTGTAGGGAAGCCAATATTGCATCTTGACAACAACCTATGTCGTATCCCACATGGGAAAACAGATGTAAGCATATTTGCTACTTCTTTGAAATGAAGTGACGGATTTTGAGACCCATAGCACCGTGTGTAGAAAGAAAGGATGCAGCAAAGCAGCACGCGAAACTCTTGACAATGACGTGATGTGCCTCGGCTGAAGAGGAACGAACAACGCGTCCTCACCACCTCCTGCTGATCTGACTAAAGTACCCATCGCTCTCGATATCATAATTGAATACGCACTTACATCCTCTATGCCCGTCACACGAGGTCAAAAGCGCGAAAACGAAATGGAAGCCGCGCTGAAAACCTTCTTTTCCTCCCCTCGCTTCGCTGTAGCCGGCGCATCTTCCGACCCCAGCAAATATGGCCATAAAAGTACGTACACGTCCACGTAGAATCATTCGTTCCATCTCACATCTGAAAACAGTCTTTGCGTGGTATCTGCGCCATTCACTACCAGCAACACCAATAAATCCCCGCTCTCCTACAGTCAACATCTTGCAGCGTGACCACACTACCGTGCCGTCGCCGAGCGCACTTCAAGATCCGCCAGCATCGAGTTATTCACTCTCTGTCATCACGCCACCGGCTGTGACGAAGCAGTTGCTGAAAGAGGCTAAAGAGGCGGGTGTACCGGCTGTGTGGCTGCAACCAGGAAGTTTCGATGGAGAGGTGTTAGAGTATGCGAAAGCGAACTTCAAAGCTGCGATAGCCGGGGATGGGGGTAATGGTAGTGAAGGGTGGTGTGTGCTTGTGGATGGGGAGGAAGGATTGAGACTTGCTGGGAGGGAGTGGTCGAGGCTGTGAAGAGTTTGACTAGTCGTGGTGTTTTATGAGTCCTGAGCGCTTCTGCCGTGAAGCGCAGGAGAGACGTAGACAATGCCAGTATTCACAGCTTCGAAATATGCGGACGAAACCAAGCTAGATTACTGAAATAAGAGTTTTTTCAGCTTTGACGACAAAGTTCGCCAAATTTCCTGCCTCTATATATGAATGTAGTCTATAGCTTACTTCATAATCTCTAAAGCTGACCGGAATACCTAAATGAAAGAAAGGCTGCTAATTTCAAGGAGCGTTTGGCAATTTGATTAGGTAATTTCGGATGTCTTGACCTTGGTAAGCCTGCACAAACTCATGCTCAAGGCCTTTATGCTCCTCCAATGTACTACACTCATCGTAATTGAGTAAATAGTCAACATCCGCCCCGTCTGCGTATATGTCAAGTGTCTCAGCCCGAGCAAGGTCCAACCAAGCCTCCTTCGTGATCACTGGCTTGTTGTATAATAGAGTCAGATCATTCGGCCTACAGATTTGATCTCTCACACTGTCGATCCTATCCCAAGGGTATTCCATCTCTTCTGTCACTTCCCAGCAAGCATCTGGCGTAATCTGAATTTCAATTTTCGCAAGAGTAGCTTTGCGTGATATAGCGCATTTTGCGAGCTCCGTAATCCAGTTTGCCTCGGCTTCTCCAAAGTCGCTCCAGCTTTCTCCGTACTCCTCGAAGTCCCAAGCAAACGTTTTCAAGCTCGGACCTAGCACGTTCGAGTCTTCATGCGAGAACTGCACAGGAGCTCGCATCTGCCATCTCGATAGCTTTAGATATTCAAGCTTCGGAAAGAGCGTGGCGTTGAAAAGTCGATCACTGGCTGTGCGGGAAAGGACGCCTATTTCAACATGTCTAAGAGAGTTCTGATGGATGCGCAACCAGCTCTCGAACATTGGATAGTCCATACGATGATTCTCAAATTCTGGGTTGTCTGAGAAGTTGCAAAACTCCAAACGGGTGAGCACGGCAGGCCATTGTAGAAGGAGAGCTGCACTTTGAGGCCGGTCTCGGTAGCCGGATATCCGTAAGGTTGTGAAAGATGCGGTGCGCATTTGTGGTGATCGTGCTAATTCGACATCTCCATTGTCCCACCACTCCCAAATGCCATTAATTTCCAATCTCTTCAGCCTCGGAAAACGCAGACGCTTGATAAGAGATAGGACAATAAAGCTAGAGCCTTCAAAGCTAGAGCCTCCATAGTCAATTTTGAACTCCTCTAGATCTTTGAAGTTGGCCGCTATCCGGGCAAGAACGTCCCATGCGTGGGTGGTTATCGTCCCGTTGGTTTGGTCATACTCGTTGCCATCGAAACTGCCAAAAATGGAAAGATTACGGGTACCCGTGAGCCAATCGGCAAAGTCTTTTGCAACTGTATAATTGTCGTCAGGCCGCCCGTGATTGTAAAGGCTCATGTGCAGCGATCTACCAGTAGAAAAATTAGATGTCAGTGTCAATTATGGGAATGTGAAGAATACCGTAACCGTGGGCGTATTCAAGCTGCAGCCATGACACTCGCCATGTTGCATTGTAGGAAGTACCACAAGTTTTGCAACATTGACGAGCCACTTCCTCGTGAGAATTTGAAACAACAAGTACATTTCCAGGTTATTCCTCACTGAAGGAGAACAAACGAACACAACTGCTTGTAGGATGGAAAGAATTACTTGATAACCACTTACCTACAGTGCTTCCGAAGATGTGGTCTGTCCCTGAGCGTACGGTGGAGGTTTTTGACTGAGATGCTGGGAGGTACCACTTGGTTTGGATACTCGATTCGAATATCACGTAGCAGTAACGGCCGCGCCAAACGTCTCAGTCGGTGGCATACCTTAGTCAGTATTCGGGCTATCCTATTGTGACAGACTGTTCTTCGTTGCTTGCGGTTTTGGGATCCATCCTCACTAATAGCTAGCTCGACAATGTGGGCTAGAAGTTCATCCGGTAGCTGAAATAAGGAGTTCTTCGTTGGCTGTTCGCCAGAGGGCCAGCGAGACTGTGCAGTCGTCCTTTTGGGGGTGCCATATGACGATCCAGTACTGGCTAGCGGCGACGGCGAATCCACTTCGATGATCGCCAAAGAGTTGGTGCGCGAAGGACCTAGATGCAGTTGATGTCGGGGTGCCATTTCAAGCTATAAGGTAGGCTTGAGTAACTTCCATGCGCGATCCAGACCTCAAACGCTTTACTGACTTTGATGTTGTTACTGAGTGGCTAACCTCGGCCCTTTCCTGACCCCAATGTTTTGGTGATGCTTGCGCGAAGGACCCCTGCACCCGATAGATCAATGGAACGCCAACCTCAGTGACAAACACCAAGCTGCCCCATGTTGAATCAGATACAACAGTATTTGTGCACTTAAATCGCCAGGGAAACAGTGTAAATAGGAAGGTTTCTGAGGCAAAAGAAGGCCCTAGGAGCCCGGACATCGCGGTCCAGATCCTCCAGGGCCGTGACAGGCATCTCCTATATATTTAAACATTTCACCTTGTTTCTCACATACGACCATAGGACGATGAGAGCAAGGCTTCCCGTTCGCTCAGCCATATTTAAGCATCGTACCGGAGGGTTAGTAGTTAAGTGGGTGACCATTAGCGAATCTCCTCTGTTGTATGTTTTTGACATTTTGACTTGATTTTTGCTTCTGCTTGCATCAGAAATTAGTGATCGAGGATGCTAAAAATCCAAAATGCTTCAAGTGACGAGAACATCCTAGCAGCAACTGCTGACTTCACCGACCCTGATCTCGCGTGACTTCATCTCACGTAACCATCGTCCAAGCGCCATCATGGGATATCCATGACGCGAGCTTGAGTAATCTAGCCAAAGTATATCTGGAAAGCCCACGCTCACATACTCTTTTTGCCGCCATGTCGCGCTCGGACCAGCGCCTATCCCGGTACCATCTTCATTTGATACGTACATTCCAATTGTTTGTGTACGGACAAGATTTTGTATGCCATTCACAATTGCAATGTCTGTGGGTGGTAAGTGTGCAAGGAGCCCCATGATGGCCCATGCTGTCTGCGTCGGTGTACTATCAAATCTTTCCGTTGCATAGCCCTGTTGATACGTCGATGCGCCTTCACCCCATCCTCCATCCTGGTTCTGTACAGACTTGATCCACGAAATTGGTTGCTGGATCATCTCATCTTTACAGCCTCTGCTCTTCTTACTGTGCATGCTTCCTGAACAGAACTTCATGCCACAAAGTACACTGTATGTTCCGTTCAGATAGTTCACATGCCATCGACTTCTCCATCGTCCCTGGGAGTCTTGCTCGGTCCGGAGGTATTGAATGGCTTTGTGACAAGCGCGTCTGATTTGGAGACACATTTCATCCATCAACAGTCTCTTGCCAGTCTTGCGATAGAAGTCATCACTCAGCGCGAGCAAAATTCCGAAGCATTCCAAAACGCGTCCGGTGATGTCTGGCACACTTGGGTCAAAGAACTCGTTGCCTTGACCAAACGGTGTATAGTTTAACCAGCAGTTGCGATTATCCCAGCCGTCGAAACATGCCCATCCGCCATTCGTGCATTGCATTCCCAGCAGGAAGTCAATAGCTGCCAGTGATGCTTTAGATGATAGTTCAGCGGGTTCGTGCATGGCAATACACAGCAGAGAGACGAGAGTATCGTCGTTATCAGGGTAGTGGGTGTTCTGGGCATGCATCAGTCAATACCGGGAAGTATTGCCTCATGGGGCACATGTGGTAAAGGTTGCACAGGTGGTTCTAGGGTATACTTACACATTCCTGATAGCACCATCCGCCTAGAGCAAGTCTTGGGTTTTGCTTGTGGCAATCTCCAGGCACGCTGAGAATCTGGTGGTCCTTAAACCATTCGATAGTCACTAGGAGTATGGATTAGCGACGTATAAAGTCATGGTAGCAAAGTCTTTGCCTACAATCCATGGCTGCAGTTTGCAGTCCAGTATCCAGAAGGCCCAAAGCCATCAGTCCAGTCTCCCACACTGGCCCATGTGTGACTTGCATCCGCGGACCCTGACTATCTTCCCATAAGTATTTATCAATTGCCTTGGTCAAATGAGCAATGACTGGATGCCGCGAACTTTCAGAACCTCTGAGGCAGACTCAAACGTCTCTGAGTGTAAGCGAGACTTGCTTTTCACCTGTACGAACCGAAAACAGAAGATCACACTAACTTCGTTTGGAACAGCCTGTAGCGTGGGATGAACTGGTTATGAATACCAGTTCACTGGTGGTAGCAGGTGCGGAAACAAGCGCAACCACAGTTGCGGCCACTTTATACCTTCTGCTAGCAAACTCCGAAGTATATGAACACCTCCGAACTGAAGTGCGGAGTGTTTTCAAAACCAGTGACGAGATCACTCTCTCTGCAGTCAACAACCTCGAGTACAGTCTAGCTTGTCTCGATGAGGCCATGCGCATGCTTCCAGCGGTACCTGGTGGACTACCACGAGTTGTGCCCTCCGGTGGCAGAGTCCTTGGTGGAAATTTTGTGCCTCAAGGTGTAAGTGGGATGCTCCAAAAAGCACCTTCGACTGATAAGTGACCACTTCCAGACTATTGTGGCTACATGGCATTGGGCTCTTTACCACAACAAAAAGTTCTTCAAGAATCCGTTCGAGTTCCGTCCAGAACGGTTTCTCGGTGCCGAAAGCTTCACATCTGATGCTCGTCAGCTTATTCAGCCTTTCCATGTTGGAAGAAGAGCGTGTATTGGACGATCGTAGGTCATGGTTTCAATCTCCGTCAATCCAACTGGTTTCTATTGGCTACTATTTGTGACTGATACGTACGATTAGGCTAGCATATGCTCAACTGAGGTTAATTTTAGCCCGCCTAATCTTCGAATTCGACATGGAACTGACTGATGAGTCTCGCGATTGGCTTCATGAGCTACGGCCATACAATCTGTGGTACAAGGCACCGTTGTATGTCCGTATCAAGTCACACAAGACCGAAGAGTAGGCGAACCATCCAGCAATGATGCTACTTGGTCAGAGCAACCGGTACAAGAAATTGTAGCATACACTTCATGGCAAGCATCGAGCTCTATGATGACGGGAACAGGATTTGGACAGGATGCCAGCAGAGTCATGGTCAGGCTCGCAACTATCAACGAGTACATGTATTTTACGTATCTTCAACCCTTTACATGTCCAAGCACTAGCGATGACCGTATCTTCGGACATTGTGTCTTTCTTCTAAGCAAATTTCAAGCTTATGGAAAAATCTTGATACATATGACAGTCGAACTCATTGCTCCACTCGACAATGAACATCTTGGTGAGCGCGACAGCTCCGGTCAGATTAAGATCCTTCTCTTCGCCCGATAAGCTCCAGAAACGGACTTCACCGAGTTGATCCATGCTCCACTCATTGACCAGCGCAAGCATTACGTCCATAACGGCGCGTACAAGATCGCCAGAATTGCCCTTTTCGAAAAGGACCGCCGACGCTGCCATACTCACATGTTATTGCGGACAAGATTGCTTTCACATCCTTGGCGCTCGAGGAGATTGGATTGAGAAGTTATGGCTCGCTTGAGCAGAGAGACTGGCTGGAATCTGAACCGGTCTATGGTGAGCTTCGAGTACGCTAAGAGAATGTCGCGCCTCCCACGATGTATGCTTCATGAAAATGATTCTAAGGAAGGCAATCACCTGCATGTGCGATGTTTTTTTGTTCTCTCTTGGGAGCCAGCAATGTTGTGCCATGCGAAGAATTTTTGCCCGGTACTTTGAGTTCTAGGAAGTCCTCATTGGCGTCCTGGGATGATTCTCGAGCAAAGATGTAGTCGACCTCGTACACTTTACCGCCCAACATGTTGTACAAGTGAGGTCACCGCGTCAAATAAGCTAATGATACCTTCAGATCTATACGGACAAGAGGTTTGCCCATATGAGAAGCAGCTTGGGATGCCCCACTGCGGGAAACGTGAGTTGTAGTCTCAATCTCTGTGTGCGACATTGAGAAAAGTGGCTTACGAATTTGCATAAATGTTTTAAAGACGTCGAATCAGAACTCGTACACCATTCCGAGTGGACAATTCAGGCCATCAGGATCACATCGTACACCTTATACTTGTACGCAACAGTAATAGCACAGCGTATTGATTTTAAATGTAGATTAGTAGTGAGCCTCAAGTTATCGCTAGAGCAATGAGCCAAATGAAGCTCTTGAAGCATTGTGACGTCAATGAGCACTTGAGTTGCACCAGTCGCAGCAGAACAACACGTTCAGAGATGGCCAACGGTGGTTTGAGCCGAACTTTGTCCGACATCATCAAGTCGGTGCTCGCTTTCGCTGCCGCCGAAAGAGCGAGGTACGCTAGGATCCATCCAGCGGAGCAACACCATCCCGACTGTAAGGCGTCCAGTATGTCAAACAATCTTTTGTCAAAGTACAAGATATGTATATATACTATGGAAGATTCGATGCAGATGGCAGACAGCAGACTGTACTCAACAATTACATCAAGCGCTCTTTCGTACCCAGAACTCATCCACAATGGCATCCCGAGCAGTTCTTATAACCGGCGCAACAGGCAAACAAGGAGGCTCTGTTGTCAATGCACTTCTGAAAGCGAACGCGCCATTCGAAATCCTGGCGTTGACACGTAATGCCAAATCAGCATCTGCACAAAAGCTGCTGCAAAAGTCGCCCAAGATCAAGCTCGTAACTGGTGACTTCAGTGCCATCGACGACATCTTCCTGCAAGCCAAAGCAGCTACAAGTACTCCAATCTGGGGCATTTTCAGTGTACAGGTACATAATATCAATCATTTCCTGAAAAGAGTTTAGCTGACAGCGGTTCCAAGGTCCCGTTAGGCAGCAACGAGGAAGCCCACGGCAAAGCTCTCATAGACGCCGCTCTCAAGAACGATGTATCACACTTCGTCTACACATCCGTTGAACGGGGCCCAAACTCCGACACAACGCCAACTAACGTCCCGCACTTCATCACCAAGCACAACATCGAGCAGCATCTTTTCGCCAAAGCCAAGGGCAGTAACATGACCTGGACTGTTCTCCGGCCCGTTGCTTTCTTCGACAACTTGATGCCGAATTTCTTCGGAAAAGTGTTTACGGCGAGTTGGCTGATGAGGTTGGGTGAGGAAACGAAGAAGATGCAACTGATTGCGACCAGCGATATTGGAGAGTTCGCGGCGAAAGCGTTCGTCAACGCGGATCAAGAGGAGTTCAGGGATAAGAGTATATCGCTTGCTGGCGACGAATTGACGTTTAGTGAGATGAAAGCGATCTTTGAGAAGAAAACGGGAGAAACACTGCCAACGACGTATGCGTGGATTGCCGGGCTTATTCAGTGGTTGGCAAAGGACTTCGGGTACATGATGAAGTGGATGCGGAGAGATGGATTTGGAGTAGATGTTGCAGGGATGAGGAAGAGGAACCCAGAGATGAAAGACTTTGAGACTTGGTTGGAGACGGAGAGTGCATGGAGAAAGAACTGAATATCAAATGTAAGACTGGACGCTAGTTTCGTTCCGTAATCATAATTCAGGACGTAATACAATCGCTGGCTAAAGATGGTATGGCATACGTGAATGCTACCACGACCCTTATATACTCCGTCTGCTCCGCGACAGGAATGCAACTACTTAAATTCGGCAAAGGCAAGCTCGTAAGCCAAAGCAAGCGTCAGCTTCGCATGCTGAAGCATGTGGTCGAAGCTGAGATACTCAATCTTGTCTTCAGTTGTGTGGATCTTGCTATCGCTGTACTTGAAATCCGACTCGATGACGAAAGCAGAGGGGTATCCGGCCTTCGAAGCGCTGGCGTGATCGGAGCAAGCGTACCCGCACTTGGTCAGGATGAATGGGATGTCGCAGTACACAGTAATGATCTGCTTGATGAACTCGGTGAGGCCAGGGTCGACAAAGTCCGTAATGACACCAACAGACTCAGGCTCGCCAGCGTCAAGCGTCTTCTGAACATAGCCGGTCATGTCCTGCTGGAGCATAGCCTTGACGTCCCTCCCCTCCTTCTCATACGACTGGAAGATTGCCTGCGATCCGAGCAGACCACCCTCCTCAGCAGAGTACCAGTGGAACTCGACGGTGTTGGGTGCTGAGCCATCAAGGATGCCCTCAGACTTAAGTAGCACGCGCAGAGCCTCGAGAATGGTGACAGTTCCGCTGCCATCGTCATCGGCACCTGGTGCAGCAAGGATAGATGGTAGGAAAAGGTTGATGGAATCCTGATGCGCACCAATCACAACAGTCTTGTTGCTCTTGCCAGGGAGTGTGGCGATAATGGATGACTGACCCCATGGATGGGGGAATGCCTTGACAGACGCGTTTACAGCACCTGCATCCGAAAGTGTCTTGCTGACTTGTTCGAGAAGCCATGCAGATGACTGAGCGCCGTACTGCGACTTGTAGTATCGGGTGTGGAACGAGGTGAATGTTTCAAGATGCTTGCGCATATTATCCTTCTTGAGCTTCTTGAGAAGCGGAACGACGGTCTTATTGAACGCGGGCTTCGATGGGAACTTCACGCTCTTTTCAATGAGCCTATTCGCGTTGATCGTGCCGAGATCCTCGTGGTGCGTGATATCGAAGAAGTTGATGTTTTGCTGTTGTCGTTAGCCCAAAGCTCGAAGCCATATCTCTAATGCAAGACAAAGTGGTGTTTATGTTACACATACACGGCGAAGCTCCCACTTGCCCTCCTCGGTCACCCATCTTGTCTCGCCAGGAGACAGCTCGATGAGGTACTCATCCGGCTCAGTGAAGGTGGATTGCCCGTCCTTAAGAACAACCTGGGGCTCTAGAGGATGGGCAGCACCAGCAACAAGAGCAGCAGTACACAGCGACAATAATACAGAGGATTTCATGATGTAAAAGTCTGATGATAATCTCGGGGTGAGGTTGATGATGGTCGCAAGGCAGTCGAGTTGACGCGGTGATCGGAGTTAGCGGGGAGCTGTCCGCAACAAGGATGGCGCGTTTCGGTTTCGTCATGGAAACCGCGAAGTCACGCGCCTCAAGCCTCCCACATTTGCACGACGTGAAATTTATTGATTCCAATGTCGCCCTCGGTTCGTCACTCAAGCACGTGAGTACCTGCTATCATATTCTGAATGGACCTTACCATCTACCTCGCAATGATGAAAAGCAACAGTCAGCCGTGAATGATCATTGATTTATGTACGTCGCCTGCAGACGTCTACTACGATAACGATATAAGTTGCGCGCACATGTGCACAATGCAAGCTTTTCTCTCGTCCTTATCAGTCTTCTCCACTTGTTGGGGATCTACTTTTCCCGCTGCTCCCTGATGGCGTCTGAATGCCTAGTTCCAGCGACTCTTCTGAGGCCATAGATGCATTTGTTGTTCTTCGCTTCGCAGGTGCGAGCGACGATGGGCGTGAGCTAGGCCTTTTCCTCGCATCAGACACCTCTGTAGTCTTTCGTGTCTTGCTGGTATTGTTCTTCCGGATTTTGGCCCTTCTTCGCATCTCATTGATAGATTGGATGACCCTCATAGTGGGATCACGTTTTTCCATCCCAACCCATTTGATCTGACGGATACCGATACCAGCGTTCTTGCACACCGCAGGGAATGCACGCGCTAGTGTGTCGATCTGGGTGTTGCTTAGGTCGTCCGTCGTCAGCGAGAACCGTAGATTCAGGGAAGCTAGTTCTGGTTTCTTGTATTGGCTTGGGCTGTTTTTCTTGATGTCGATCTTCTTGAGTGGGCCCAGCTCCACGCTGCGTTTGTGTTTCTTCAGTCGATCCCACATCAGTGCTGCCTTCTCAGTTCTTTTTGTGTTGATTGTCTCTTCGAGTTTGAACACGGAGAAAGTTCCGTCTGTCGATTCTTCCAGGAGCTGTTCCAGCGAGTCGCACAATGCCTCAGTGAAGGATCCTGGTCCAGGGCCGGTTGTCTTGCCCTCAACTGCCGAAGCTGCTAAAAGTTGGTAGGTTCTCCATTCATCATCACTCTTGACTGCAGCCGTGCTTGCGAAGCAGCAATCGAGGATCGTCAAGACGTCACCCTTTGCTTTAGTCTTCAATGGCTTTTCAGCTTCGTCCCAAAAGGCTATGGGTTGGTGACCACCCATACTCTCGTCCCAATCTCGCGTTCTGCTGACATTTAGTCCGATGATAACTGTAGTGATTCGAGACACTTACGCTGACAGTCGCAAGCGCCGACCCTTGATAGGATCGGCTACCTGTGCAGCATGGCCGGTATAATAGACGATCAAGAGATTGTTATCCCCATTGTGGTTTCGTACATGGGACATGATGTAATGATCTAGATCGAGCTGTGGGTCATCGATGTTGCGGAGTATTTGCACCTCGCATCCAAAGTGAAACTTCTTCTCGAATATGGTTTGGAGCCGCTCAATCTGAGCAGAGTCAGCCTTATGAGGTACCATGGGTAGTCTATACACTGTGGTAGACTTGTTTCAATAGCTTACCTCTTTGCCATGACCCTTGAACTCATCGATGCTTTCGTCCCAACGAATAATTAAGACCTCGACTTTGCGATAGCCGTTGGGTATGTCCAAGACCGTGTTGGACATTTTGTCAAAACGCTTTTGTCGTTCATCTTCGCGTTTCAGTACTCGTTTGGTATCGTCGTCAGCGGGGCCCAAGACATTCATGTCTTGAGACACAATCGCCTGGGGCGTGGAGCCTTGTTGAGGCAGGACAGATGCCATTGATCCGGAACAAGGCTGAGGTGGATCAGTAAGTGTCGTACTGTCAGTACATCGAAGTTGTGTATCAGTGTGTGGGTTATACATTGGGCGGAATTGGACGAGGCTACGCCCTGGGTACTCGCTTTTATTATCGTTCTGTATAACTATGGTAGCATCCCCAAACCACTGCGAACATCTGTGGCTGTGCAGATTTCGAGCTGGCTGAAGGACGAGGTCCTCCACATATGCAACAGCCACGGTGTCTCTTCCTGGAGATTGCCTTGGGTCTGCCTATGATCACCAAGTGTCTTGATTGGCTACATTTAGCCCCCATTGGTCCTCCGTGGTGCGCTGCAATGCAAGCCCCTCCAACCCACATCGAGTTTACAACCCCTCATTGCGATTGAACCAGCTTTCATGCAGAATTGGAGGTGAGAATGAGGCTCAACAACCCAGATTGAGATGATTCGGCTGCGCAAGGATCTTTCGACCCCTCCCTCAGCTGCCGCCACCAATACTGGCAGGTCCATGTCAGGCCGATAAAGAGGACGAGTGCGCCTATGTATCTGCCTTGCAGCCTCAGAATACATACCACTCTGGAGATCAAAGCATACTGGATCGAGCGCTGCCATTCAACTAAAAAATGTCTGACCACGTAAGGCTCCATTACGCCCTCATGTTGACCGGAGATATACTGACCGGTGCACTTGGCCGCAGGAGACTATTCCTGAGTCCGAGAAGGAGAAGTCCGATGTTGCCCGCTCCCAAATACGAAAGCCGGTAGGTGCCCACAGATCCCCTGCTTGGCACAAGTCTCTTATGACAGGAAATAGCGGGGTGCAGGATTTGCAGTGGGGAAGAAGGCATCAATGAAAGTTCGTATGCTTGATAAAGACGGGAATGCCGTTCTAGACTGGTATGACTTTACGGTTACTGCTTCCCGTAAAGACCGTACAGGTCGCTACGAGTACCAACTCAACTATTCGGGCGCATCTTATGAAAGAGGCAACTGGTTCCCTGAGAAAAGCCTCGAGGTTCCATGAGCTAGGTAGTTTTGAAAGGATGGGGCGGGCTGAGCAGCAATTCGAGACATAGTCCAGGCTAATAGGCTGGTGCTGCGATAAGCTGCACACCCTGATATCTAGCCTTGCAGCCTTAGCCAAAATTGAGCAAGATTAAAGCCGACTGAAATGCTCAAACAAATGCCGCAGATAGTCTAGATATGTGTCTCAATTGTTAAAGCAACTAACATCATGAGCACTTCCAGTCCCGTATCGACGATCACCAGGAGTTCTCGTGGCCGAGAAATGCGACTTCCAGCGACACACAAGGCTGCAGCGGTGATGCTACCGACTTGGACAGTCGAGCCACCACATTCTGTGGGGAAGGAAATGTGCTCGGATCTGGTGCACCATCCGAACCGGAGTGTGAGCTTTCGCCTGAAGAAATTCAGTACGAGATAAATAACACAACGACAATACCATGTAGGACTCCCACACACTGTGTACAGAAACCTTCGAAGAACTGAAAATCTCGTAGTACAAGACTATCCCATGGGATATCCACGTCAAGCAGCCTTTCAGTCTAGCGAGCCTAGCTGGTCGATTTATCGTGCTTTCGACTACCTCCACTCCAGGGTGATACTGGATTTGCAAGAAGACCTTCGAAGTCTAGAGACAAAACTTGTCAGCCTTGACGAGATAGATGTGGAGAGAGGCGATGGCAATCGCGTGACATCTAGGAAGGACGATTTGGAGCGAGCCCGAGAGGATAACGTAGAAAGTAAACGGGCAAGTCTCCTCAGCACAATCCGAGGCAAGCTCGTCAGCTACGGTAACCAAAGCATTTATAGATTAGTGTTCCATATCAGCTAACACTTCTTAGATGAACTCTTGGGAAAAGCTCGGGAGCTCAATGCTTTCCAAAGACCTTCAAAGCGGGACTACAGAAGCTTCCGCACTTGGTTCTACAACAATAATCCGCTCAGTTATGTGGCAGAAGAGGAGTTCATCAGGCGCAAAGAAGATCTGATTACTTTGCGCCACGGGCGAGAATGGTCTGGCTTTGATGGATTCGTCGAATCGTGCGTTCGTGCGATGCATGGCCCGTTGACAGTGAAGCTGTTTACTACACAGGAGCTCAGAAAGAAGACCAACGATCCGGACATCCGCTATTATTCCCAGTCGCGGATCGAGAAGCTGGTGGGTCTGATAATCACACTGATTATCTTCATTCTGCTTGTCTTGCCAGTGGTTGCAATGTACAAGCTGACGTCGGTTGGAGATCGCAACTCCACATTTGACGCTGTGGGTATCCTAGTGGTATTCACTCTACTCTTCTCCGCAGCAATGAGTCTGGTAACGAAGGCAAAGAGGCATGAACTGTTCGCAGCCAGTGCAGCTTATTGCGCAGTGCTGGTAGTGTTCATCTCGAACTTCAGCAACGACAACAACAATATCGGCAGGGTGCAGTAGGAGAGTTGGTATTGAGTTACTTTCGATTGGTCTAATGCTCAGAGAAGCGGCGACGAAAACTCTCGCACTCAACCACAGCGCAGCGCAACAGTGGTAGATAGCTTTTCATCGTGTGTTCCTGATTGCCGTATAAATTTCCGGACCATAGAAAAGTGTTTAGATAAATGAATGGGGACTTGTTGGCGCGAATTTGACCATGCAGTCGTGATTTACCCCTCAGTGCGGACGGACAAAGACGGCTGCTAAAAAGCGAACCACCCCTCCATGTGCCCCGCAACCAAACCGACCCTTTTGAATTAAGAATCTGTATAATGCAATTAGAGAAGGGTTCATCAAAACCAATCAAGCGCGTCTTCGGGCGCACAACTCCGCTTGGTGTAGTTGGTGTAAGTTCTACAGTCCGCACAGCTCGTGCGACCACCCGTCTAACTCTTTGCAGTTATCACGTTCGACTGTAATATTACTTTGTAATCGAAAGGTCCCTAGTTCGATTCTGGGAGCGGAGATTTCTTTTTGCTATACAGAGTGTCTGTTGGATTGTGGAGTGGTGGGTGCCTTTTTTGCAGCGTGGGTGAGGGTGCGGACGAAGCGAGAAAATTGCCGATACAGCCAGCTAGACTGCGAAAACAGTCTTAAGACATTGAGATTTGTTTTTAAATAAAGCTCTAAATACCTCTCCGAAGCCTTTTCGCTTTTCGTAGGATGGATAATGAAGTATTGTACTTTACCAGCTCTGGTGGGACACATTGTGTAAATGCAACCACAACAACAGCGCAACGGCTTAACAGAATTAAGTAAAAATTGAATATGCTACTCTATTGTGTCGGCTCTACCTTCGTAAGAAAGACTTTCTTTCTTGCAGTTTTGCTGGTATTGTCGGGCTAAAAGTCGCCCTGATGCTAAGCGTGGATCGTCCCACGGGAGGAGAAAATGTGCAGTAGACCTTAGAGGCTATTAACACAAAGACGAGACATTACTATACGTAGGACCTTTCCAAAGCTACTAAATCTCGCTTTTTCTGCAACGTGAGAGCCTCGGCTCAATGGAACTGGTGCGAAGTGGGGTTAGTTCGTCAGCACGGATGTGGAGTTCAATATCACTGCTAGGGTAAAGTAGATTAAGATTGCACATGTGGCCTTTGAGGTACAGATGCAATTGTGATTTTTCGCTACTTGTGAAATGCGCTAATGGCTCAATGTGTGTTGCAGGTACTCGCGTTGGTACATAAACGATCAGGTACATAATTAGTCATACAACATTGGTAGGCCCGATGGCGCAATGGTAGCGCGTCAGATTCCAGTTTCTAGTTACCTGAAGGTTGGGCGTTCAAATCGCTCTCGGGTCATCAATTCTTCTTTTTTGCCCGTGTGATGCGTTCGGCAGGACTTGTTGTGGTGCACTTGATCGGTTGCGGTTAATGGTGGGGGGACTCCACTATGCACTAGAACGACTGCGACCAGGATTTTTTTGGTTATCCAAAGGATCCGAAAACCACTGCTTTCCCAGTTGAATTGTCTTCCTGCACCAACGACTTCTCAAGCGTTAGGAGGAGATGGGATGTCCGCACGAACAGCTCTGTGATATGTCAGTGTCCGGACGTACATATGGACTGCTGGTTGACATACCATCATATTCAATCTCGTAGGACACAGGCATGTCTTCGTCTGATCGAATGAGGATGGGTGTGTCTCTGCGAAACTTCCGCTCCTTTACATTGAAGCGTATGCCTGTGTTCTTGGACCCGCTCACCCATAGTATTCTCGGATCGTTCATGTCAACTTTTTCCTCGTTCTCCTTCACGGCCGCTTTGCCCTTTCCCATCTCCTCTACAATGTCTACAGTTTCTATCGGTGCGGCAGCTCTCTCTTGCCGGCCTTTTGCCGCCATCTCTGCTAGCCAGTCTTTCCACACTCTCATCACGCCTTCTTCAACATCAACAAAGCAGGTAAAGAGTCCATGTCGCGGCCCAATCTTGACCAAGTTTGCTTGCGACACGAGTTGAGTAAACAGCTCATGCGCTTCCAGGCTCAACGTCTGCTTGACAGTCTCGCCTTCGTATTTATCCTGCGCAGTGCCCGGGAAGGTGCGGCTTCCAGGCACATCCCCTGGTCGCCGTAGCACCTTTCTGCCACCTTCTTCGAGTTCTCGTTGATGTGGCCTGAAGCGGGAGTACATGTTGCGCATCTTTGCCAGCCGTTGTCCAATGTTGGCTTCATCATCAGCCTCAGATGTGTATAAGGATAGACCTTCGGTACCACGGTAGGTGCAAAAGTATGGCGGCTCGAACAGCTTCGCCGAGGGATGATAGCATTCAAGCAATAGAGAATGTGAGTTGAGCTCGGCTGCTGCAACGAGTCTGTTGTGCAGAATTCTGAGTATTGTAGTAGACAGTCGGCGCGAGATCGAGGTCAGAGGCAGAAGCTCGGGCGTAGTTATGGGGGCAAAGAGGTGCAGGAGTAGCTGCGATAGTTAGCCGATGTGAGATGGGATGATGATGCAAGACGGCCTACTTCGTTTGGGAGGTTATAGAGGTAGCAATTCGCCATTATGAAGTTCGTTGATCAAGCCAGCACAGGTTGTTTGCGAGGCTTTACTTCAAGATGTGTGAACGGAACCAACGCGCGCGGAGATAAGATATCGTCATCGTGTCGGCTATTCTGTATTCGGCTAGCTCAAAACACAGACGCGCTTTCCCGTTCGAGCTTCATCAATCACCTTTCAACGCTCACCTCACGACACCAAACTTCACGCGTCCAGTGGCTCACAAGCTAGCATTGACGAGCAAAATCGCGTTCGATATGCAGAAATTCGTTGCTAATCGCGAGCGTGCAGCCAGTCCGCAGCAGGCTCAGAATGGTCCGCCCTCGATAGACCGGAAAGTCGTCGCTGCCAACGCCCGGGTTACCATGAACAGACCGCCTGCGACTAATCAAACTCGACAACTCCAATTGCCGTCAGGTATACCCTCACGTGGCCTTGTAAATGTGCAGAACAGCTCTGCTGCTCTCCAACATGCATCTCATCGCCGCCATTCAGGTCAAGGCAACAAGGTTGACATGTACGACACAGATGCTGATAGTATCGATACTACAGTCAATCAGTCTGTCATTCAAGTCGAGGACAGTCAAATCAAACAGCCGCAGTATCGTCAGCACGCCGAAATAGTTGACTTTGGAAGCGAGGGAGCCGACGGCGATGAGGATGATGCCACAGATGACGATGACGATGAAAATGGAGAGCAAGAAGACGGGGACGATTATGATGAGAACGATCCAAAAAACTATCGTATGACACAAGAAGAGTCTGATTTCCTTGAGCGACAAGGCAAAGCACACCTTCCTATTGAAGATGCTGTTGCATTCCTGGCCCAGGCTCGTTCAGAAGGCTTCCCGACAGTTGATGGCGACTCCTACCCGACTACCACGGACGGCGAGCCCACCGAGTGGCGAGGAGAGCAAGGTCTGACACGTGAACCTCCCTCGCCCCGACGATCTGTCGTGAACGGCCATCGTCAAATGGCCCAGCTGTCCACGCCTCGTCAACCACAGGGCGGAAGTAATGCGCAGCCTCTGCACAGCTCGACCAAGCTCTTCAAGCAGTCGGCAAATATTCGTGACCAGCAACGTGTGAATGCATATCCCAACCCACAGCTGGATCAAGGTTATCATCCCATCGCTGCACCTATACAGTCTAGTCAGCCACCGTCATATTCACAGGTCAAGCATGAGTTCCCTATTACTCAAGCGGTCAGCGCAAATGCTCAACCAACCCAAGTGGTTTTCAACCAAGCACCACAAGCATTTCCTCCTCATCCTGCTGCTGCTCGCGCTCAAACAATCAAACTTACTAAAAATGAAGCCCGTGCTTCTTCAACGCGCAACAAGACCATTCCAATCATTTCAAAATCAGCACCAGTGGAACAAGTCTTAGTGCAGGATCCCATTGCGCGCTCCGCCTGCGATTACGACCTCGAAGTCCTTCACAAAATGAGCTACGACCAGCTCAAGAACGAGAGCTTCGATTCCAATCCCCGTGCAAAGGACCCGCCGCTGTCTGAAGACATGCTTCAAAAGCCCCTCGTTGAGCGCCTCGAGCACGTGCAGAAGAATTTCAATCCAATCAAACAATCTGAATTCTTCCACGCCCTACCCACCCGCGAATGGGAGGATGCCGGAGATTGGTTCCTCGAGCAGTTTGGTAGCATCATCAATCGGACCAAAGAGGCACGCAAGCAAAAGCGCAAGCTCGCTGAAGGCTTCGAGGACGAGATTGAGAAGCGACACAAGCACGTGAGCATGAAATGCCGTCAAGTTGGGGATGCGATGTCGAAGATGGAAGCTCAGGGCGAAGGACTAGTCCCTAGGAGCCCGAAGCCAAAGAGGCGCTGAACATCGCGGAGTGGAGGAAAGATTGCGGTATGTTGATGGGGTGTGCAATGTGTTTTACGATGTCACGGAATAATGATGGGGAAGCAAAACTCGCACGGAGTTACGTGCGCATGAGAGCGCGTCGATGGCGTTGATTTATTGGTACAATGTGTTATATACCCATACTCGCGAGCATATCCTAGAACCAAGATCGCAATGAATACTTACAACTTGACTTACAAATGCCGATGTGCGCTCATGTCTGTTCCCATGCCACAACGCGCAACTTCGATTGCATCTGGGCCCAGAGGTACTCTCACTTACGGTTATGCTAGAAACGTCCCAAACTACAATGACGATACCTCTTAGTATACTCACCGACCTACACAGCTCTGAAAGCAATTCCAGTTCGCGCGGCCAAGCTATCGTGACTCCATCCACGTCAGTTGTTGTGCCACGCTAAGCCGGGAGCCATTTCCGGTACCCAATCACACGCCTCTGAGCGCAACACAGCATTCCCCTATGATTTGGGGACTTTATGTGCATGCTCTTGGGGACTGTTTCGTGACACTGTTGAGACATTATTAGGACCGCAAGGCACTCTAGTTGTCCGCCCGCAAGTTCAATCGGAAGTCGAACGAAGCGGCCCGCGGAAGCTTCGAAGGCCGCCGAAAGGCTGCCGAATTCGCGGTTGTCATGTTGCACGTAGGCGGGCTTGGATGGAGATACGCGTGTCGAATCGGGGAGCTCGGGCGGTGTTGTACGATGGGGAAGCGGGCGGTCTGGATGAAGAAGGCGCACGAAGCGGGCGAGTGCCTGGCATGGCTTCGAACGAGTTACACTTGGTCGAAGTAATCACACAGAACCGTTCTCGATAAATGTTCGGGTGCGTACCCGAGAGGAGTCGCTAGGGAGAGCGGGGCGCACTGTCTTGTGCCTGGTTTGGTGGGAGGATGGCGAGTACGATGGTAGTGATATTGCCAGCGATCAAGGTGTAGAGTTGCGCCTATCCGACTTGCGGGGACAGGTGCTCGAGACGGGGCGATTTCGTCGTTAGGATACAGGTGCAATTAATCTTGTGTATGGGCTTGTGTTCGTGGATTCCGCGATGCAGCGTTGACGTGCCTGGATGGCGTTGGCGCTAGCTTGCGCCTCCATGCCCGGTGGTGGATGCCCGCCATCAGTTGCGTATAGCTATACTCCGCAAAATCCCTCGGTCTTAACCGACTTCAAATTCCCAACACACTTCGACCATAGCAGAAGCTGTACACCTTCGAAACAGATACTTGACGCAAATTTCAGTAAGTGTAGTCCATCCCTTCGGCGAGTCAGGGAGTATGTGGGAGATCGCAGGCTGATGCTCCTGCCCACGTAGGTGACGGGGTCCTTCACAACGCTCCGTGGTTGATCATAGAAGCGGCCGTCCTTCGAGTTGGTAGACCATCTTTCTCTTGCGGAAATCAGGCCAACAGACATGGATACACTCGAAACGCCCTCGCCGTCCACGCCGCACACGGACTGCGGACCGAGCCTCCACGATTTCGCAACGAAGACACCTCGACTGAAGAGGAGACGTGAATGGCAGGAAGAGAAGATAGCTGGAAGCCGAGCCAAGAACAAGAACAAATCAGCAGCAGCTCCAGCGGCGCAGGGCGGCCCTATGGTCTCAGCCTCCACTACTGAAACCGAAACGCATGACGCATTTCAATCTCAAGTACTCGAGGGGAGCTACAGTGCGGGCGGAAAGGCTCATCCGCTGCCTGACCGCTCGCCGGGACAGTGGAAGACAATTCGCCAGTTGAAATTGTGTGCAGGCTGCCTGACGAGAACGATTCCTCCGCATATTCAAGGCAGCGAGGATGCACCTTGCAAGGGTCAGCCGGACGCTCTTTTCGACAAGGCGAAGATATCCAGAATAAGGAGGGAACTCCAGGGACATTATATGGACTCGGAGCGCGCACGCCGCAAATATGGGCAGCAAAGCAAACAACCGCAGCCAGGAGATGTTTCTTCGCCATTCGACCAATATGGTAATCCTTTTCTCTCCTTGCGGCATTCTCTCCATCCAGGAGTGAGCCATTTCGACCACGTCGTGCCCGTTTTAGGCAACGCATCTGGTGTGCCTGCTACACCTGGATATCTCCTTGCACTTACCGCACCGCCCTTCAACGTCCACGATCCTAGCTCTGTTTTTCATCCAAGAGAACGGCTCTCCGGGAGCAAACAATGTGCCATGCAAAGGGTGTCTCGCAGTTCAGGCTCTGTCACACAGATTGGTGACTCGGACAGGCTTCTTGTCCCCAATGAGCCGTGTATCGCGCGCACGCCGTATTACTCACATGCTTCCGCGGCAATCAACGTGAAGCAGTCAAGTGAACAGAATATCGATATCATGGGCATGGATCCTCCGACACCTGTAATTCCGAAGATCCTTATCGAGGCAGATATCGGACCGACTTCCGAATCGCTGCAAGAGACCGCAGTTATGCCATGTTCAGAGAGCAGCAAATCTGCTTTCACACTCGCCGCCAACGATCACGACTGGGACGATGAGACGAGGGTGCCGGAGACCATCCACGGATCTCAGGACAAAAATCATATCGAAGAGGATCTCAGCACAAGCGCGCTGTTGGTCGAGAAGCTGATGGGCGAAACGGCAGGCATCATGTCCTCGGTGCCTCGATCATGGACGTTATAGGTATCTCCAGTAAGTTTCCATCTCTTTCTTTGTATCTGCCAGTCAAAGGCTGAAGTGTTCCAGGGCTGTCGTGAATGGGAGGGCTCCACGGTATCCGAAGAGCCACAGGAGCTGCTATCCAAGTATGGTTCCAAACGCGAGAAAGTCCTCCGTTCGTCCAAGAATGCAGAAAAGTTCCTCGATATGCAGAGCATCACCCCTTGGTTGGAGTGATGGAGAAGGCTCATCTCGATGACAGAGCGGATGAATGATGCTGTATGTAGGTAGAAGTCAGATTTCTTTGGTGGTTGCGGATGTAATGTGGTACATATGTAATCCGCCGAGCCTAGTTCGCACAGACACCGGAGCGAACGACTCTTCGGGGAACCGGTGTTGGTGTCTGTGTTGCGAAGCCGTCCCCTCTCATTGGTCGGACAGCAAAATGTACAGTCGTGATTTCGATGTTTTGGTCTTCCCTTTTTTCATCCACTTCCAAGTTTCATGCAAATACCCCTCAATCCTTTCAGTACTTACACCATCAGGATATATATAGTCGAGTGCTGCCATCCGACAATTCGCCACGTAGGCAACGAAGTGAGCGCGTTTTATGCCTGGTTTTCTCGCCAATCGGTGCTGGGTGCCTTGAGTCTGCAGCAAGCACCTATGACTCATCTTTCGATCCTGCCAGCGAAACGCGACGATAGGATTGTTGTGAAAGTTAGGGGGTTGCAAGATTGGACGTGTGGTCAAGGTTAAGTTTCGGATCAAAGTTTAACCCGAGTGCCGCTAGCAGACGGAAGCTACGGAGAGCTCCGTCACTTCTTCTTCAGTCTCGGTCTTCAAACTCGTGAATCCGGGGTGTTCTTCATAGCACGATATTCACTCTGTGTTACAAGCAAGCCGCTACTCGCTAATGACATACCGCGGCCGTCTTTCAGGCTCCCGTCTTCAGCCTCTCCGATAAAGAGCTGCCTGGGAACGTCAGTGCTCATACCCGGGCCCAAATTTTCGAGAGCGCAAGAAGGAACACTACGTGGTAACCTTGGTGGGAGTTATGCGTATGTTTGTTGTAATTTCTGCGCATCTCTGCCCTCGTTCATCTAGATCATCACGCCTTATTTGCACTTTCACCTATTGCCTGACTCCGATCATCATTTGCTAGACTTATGAAGCTACTCCTGTTCTTCTTAAAGTTCCCTGCATTACCTCTACGCATTTAGGCGTTCATTGCCCTGTTACGCCCCACATGGACATCGTGTCAGAGTGGACACGTACAATTTTTCCGCGTCAGCGCACCCTACCTTGATTTTTCTTTGCTCATGGTACCATGTTTATGATCTTCAGTTTTCACGTTTATCTTATACGCAATGTTGTGCGAGGTATGTACATTCCATCCGTTTCTTCTGTCACTCACCCATCTGCACACAGCACTGCACTATTAGTGCAGATTTCTTCTCGCGCCGGATTATGACAAAGTAGAGTATGACAAGAGCAGTTGCGTGGGCGGGCTTATTGTCAGTATCAGCTTTCTTCTCCATCGTTGTGATGACGCAGAGATGGAGCGCGTAGTGACTGTGCAAACAGGCGCGCCCACAACAACAACAGCCTTTCACCTGCTCTCACCTCACCCCATATCTCAATCACCCACACTGCGGCTACACTATTATAACGAACTGTGATATCCCTCCTACCTCTATATAGGTTGAATTATTAGCAGTTCTTTCGGTAAAATCTCCTTGGGTTGGAACACCCACTGAGTCGGTTTCGATCTCTGAACAGATCTATCAGACGCGTCCTCTCAGAGGTTGTGAGTTCGATTCCGTGATAAAACGCAAGTTTTCGGCAGCATTATAGCCCCACATCTACGGTATGACCACAAATCGAGTCAAGTTGCTAAGTTATCCAGAGTTCTTCTGGATCACTCGGCTCGACGTACTTCTACCTAAGGCAGGGGGTCGCTGTTCTTTTTGTTCTTTTTGTACACACAAACATCCTACTATTTTAGTCATAGAGAGACATACTAGACTTGCTGGTGCCTAAGTAAGAGCACGTGTTAGGAAGTATGCCTTAGCGTCCTTCCCGCGCTTGCACAGCCATGCATGAGGTGAGCGTAAGCGTAAGCACTGCATCTCTTCTATTTGTACATAAACAGCAGAAGTCCACGTCTTCGCAAAAGTTTTACACCTCTTTTTTTACTTTGATAAAGGCATCACAGCCTATCGAGTTTGATCCTGGTCGCTAAAACCACACAAAACACCAGCTACTTATAACCGAACGCCAGTCATGGGCTGCTGTTCGCCCTCCGACGAAGTCATACAAGAGATCCAAGATCGGAAAGATATCCAAACAGCGCGTGGCATCGCGGCGAGAAAGTACATTGCAGCTCACAAGGCCGGCGGCGTTCAATACAGCAATAGAGACGAGCATATGTTGTTCGGGGTGCAGGGTGAGCGAGGTGTGCATTCGGCTTCGACAGTGGACGATGGAGGTGATGGAGGCGGTCATGGAATGGGAGGTGATGGGGGTGGCGGAGGAGGAGGTGATGGAGGAGGTGGTGGCGGCGGCGGCTCAGGAGGGGATTGAACGACGAGAGAAATATCAAGGGTGGAGGGCTGTTGTGGTGAGTCGAGGCAGTAATTTTTCGATCTCTGACACTATCATCGTTCTTGATTCGGGTTCGTTGACTCTGTAGCCCAGCACTTCCTGCGCACGATTCACTATAACGATGCATACACTACTCTTCAAGGTCATAAATGCCCGCATATAAAGCTCGTGACGTCTCTTACCAATGTCTCCATCTACCACACACACTTCTCATCTAAAAATCTCATCAACGACATCATCATGTGTCGTATTATCCTCGGAAAACTTAACAAAGTAAGCAAATATACAACAACCACAAATGCCAATACAAACTCCACTTTACCAAACAGGTATCGAACTGCAGGTAAGGGTAGTGGTAGAGTTGCAGGTGGAGGTGAAGTTACCGGTCGCTACGCATACGAGAACTCATATACCCCGAACTACGAGGCGTATGGAGAGGGCTATTGTGGAGGCCGACATTCGTCCGGAGGAGGTGATAGCTGCGGTGGAGGCGGCTGTGACTCAGAAGGTAGAGGTGGCGGAGGTGGTGGGGACTAAATTTGCGAATTAAGTGTGCCAATACAAACTCCACAATCATAGTCATCTTCAAGTGTTCATGTGCTCTTTAAACCACTAATCGCAACTTCGACCTTCACATTGTGCCCTTGAAGTTCTGGGTCCTTATGTATAAAACATCTCCAGCTATCGGCCTTTTCAATCATCATCTCGCCAACAACTGTACAGCACCTAAAACTAACTCACAAACAAATCAAAACAAGCAACATGAGCATCTTCCTAACATGGAAATACCCACGCCAACCCACTTGCGGCGAACCCGAACCTTCGAACTGCGGGCCAGCTCAACACCATCATCGATACTGGTGGCTATCAAAAGCGGTATCACCCAAGAGAGGATCAGTCTTACAAGTGCGATGGGCCAGGAACAACACATCCACCGCGAGCTCAGGAGGGCGGCTTGGAAGTACCGGAGACGGAGGAGGATGCGCGGATGGTGGCGGCGGAGGTGGTGGTGATGGAGGAGCTGGATGAGGTAGAGGTGACTTTGGAAAGCAATATCGAGAAGCCTGTGGAGAGATGCAGATCGGTACAGCTTCATTATCATGATTAATACAGTGTAATTGGACTGATCTTTGGACAGTTCGATGATGGCCCTTACTCCCTCGAGGACAACTTTCGTCGGTCGTTTTCGTGACACAAAAATTGCTGTGAACGATCGCTCGTGTGTCGTGAAACGAATGCCATGCTGCTTTTTCTGTGACTATACAGCTATAAGTAAATTTAGGCTCTCTGGGGAAGGTCATACAACTGTTCGTCTAGCTGGTGCTCGTCATCGAGGCAATCGAGGAGACTGATGATTGAATACCCAGGTCCCTATCTGTTACCAGCGAAAACATTCATCGAAAGCTTCACATGACACCAGAAATTGACATGACACACGAAATACTGTCTTACTCACATTTGCTTCTGACTCTTCACCGCAATTGCACACTGATCACTTAATTCTCGTATCAAGCAGCAACCCACCTTCTCAGACTCGACAACCATCTTTCTACTAAGCAAAAGCCCCCGCTTGGACTCGTGATGGGATGCTCCTCAAGCAAACCTTCAGCTCCCATTGAACCCTCCTCACCTTCTGCAATGATACCTTTGCAACCCACTAAAATCAAATCCACCAGACCGCCGCCTTCAAAACCCGCGCGTGAGCCCAAAGCCAAATGGCTGAGGGACAGTAGCAAGGTACAATTCAGCAATCCGGATTGGCAAGGCAGAAGCGGAGGCACCGGGCATCATGATGGCGGAGAAAGTCCTCGCGATACGGGAGGACATTACTGAGGCAACGATGGTGGAGGTGGACATCATGGTGGAGGATTTTCTGCTGGAGATTCGGGGGGAGGAAGTGGTGGTTGTGGTGGAGATGGTGGAGGATGTTAAAGAGGGACGAGAACAAGGAGAGCAAGCGTCCAGATCGCGGACCAATTTTTTGGTCTTTTTTAACTACATATATGCGCCGGTTGCATTGAGGATTCCGCGCAGCAAATGCCTACCGTATGATTTGATGGGTATCCAATAATATCGTGACTCGACGCCTTTGTCATCTTATCATCCTAAAAGGATGTCCCTCTGTATTAAACACCCATAAGTCCAAACTCGCAGTATCGATATCAGTAAACGTCAACCACAAATATTTCAGCGTCTGAGCCGCCCAGTAGCTTTCTTGCTTATCGACCCAATTCTCCTCACCGCTTGTCGCCCACACATCAGCAAGCTGCGCATACCCGTATGGCGCTTTGCAATGTTCTTCAATAGCTGTGAAAGCTTCCCACGCCCAGTTGCGATATCGCTGTTCGCCCGTGATGCGCCATGCATAGAAGAGTGACTCGACATATTCGGGCCGGCCTTTGTACGCGGGCTCGGTAGCCCAGATGCCGGTTCTAGTCCATTCTTCCTGTTGTCGCTCGGATGTGGGGGAGAAGAGAGGCTCGTCGTAGCTGACTTTGGGTGTCCAGGACCATGCTTCGGGGCCGATGTGCGTGGGTGTGGAAGTGTATACGTGTCGGCAGCCTTCGAGTAGCGCGAGGGCAAAGGTGCGAAGAGAGGGTTGCTGGTAGTACTTTGAAGCTAGCAGGAGCGTGCCCGGTGCAAAGCATGCAAGATGACCTTGGTGGTTCTGATATCGCTTATCGTCCTGCCGCCCGATGAATAGGTGCTGCATTATGTGTTCTGTGGCGGGTGCTGAGCGGGAGCTGAGCTGCTTGCGCAAGGAGTATGCGGAGTCGAGGAATCGCTTTTTGTATAGATCGAGGTGCGGATCGGTCGGAGGAGCTAGTAAAGTTATCTTGAGGAGGTATTCATAGTACGAGTCGTGTCCACCATCCCAGTGCCTTGAGCGCGCGACTGGAGAGCCAGTCATGATATCGATGGGAGCATCGACCATTCCTGGCCAAGGCGTCGCCCAGTTTGACCACACAAGAGGCGCCCATGCCAGCGTGGAGTTCTTGGTGTAGACTGGGTCGCCGGTCATGCGGGTCAATACGCGGTTCTCGAGGATTGATGAGCCAGCCCGGGCAGGTCCAATGACTGGATGGTCGTACGGCCGCTTGTTTGGGTCTTCACTGAAGACGAAAGTAGGACTCGGCTCGCCTTGTTCTGTATCAAAGTCCACGCGTGGCCAGGGCAAGCCAGAAGGCGTATCGTATGCCGGAGCGAGCTTCTCTGCCAAAGTGACCGCATGCTCCAGTATCAAATCGCGAGCTTCCTCATGCAGAACGTGTTCCGGTATCAGGCCAGCGTCGTATAAATCCACAATTGACAGCATCCCGCCCAGATATCGTGTCGTCGTGTGAAAAGGGTCCACGAGGCCGGCGGCTTCGGTGAAGTCTACGCCAAGAATGTGTTCAATCGAATGCGATAGTTCATCCCACAAGCCCATGAGCGCCAACGTGCTTGCCGAGTCCACTATGAAAGCGCCCCAGCCGTTTCTCGACGAATAGTTGCCTCCAGATACAGGCAGTACATCATCGGAACCCCATGCGCTCTCGCGATACTTCTGGAAAGTATACTTCATCGCATCTCGCACTTTTCCCGCCCTTGCATCCTGTGCCTTCCCAGTCCCGTTCCAGTGTGCATTTTGTATGGTCGCGCCCAGATGCGCCGTGAATGGTAGGTGGACAGTTGGGTTTTGAAACTCCTTGATGATCAGATAGAAGGTTATGACGAGGACGGCAGCAAGAAGCTTGAACGAGGACTCTGGATTCCTCTCGAACTTTGATTTGCCCCAGCGGCGGAAGCTGGGCATACTTGGTGCGTGTACGGGGCCACAACGGTGGGCGAGCGAGCTCAGGTCGTGAGTTGGGGTAAACGCGGCATTTGTTCCATGTGCGGAGATGTGGAGGTTCTAGTAGCCGGCAATATCACGCGATCATGCTAGTAAGGGCTGGAAAGGGCTATGAAGACGCTGGATGCCATTCGAGGGTAGCTGCTCTATGTTGAACGCAACGTCGCAATTGTGTGCCTGGCATCTCGGTCAGCCTTGGCGTCTCGTCATCCCGAGGCTTGTTCCTTCCCCGGATTTTATTCCACAACCACGTCGACACCACGCAGCACACACTGCATTTCCACCATGGCTATATGGCAGTAAGTACGTACTAGTATCTCAATTGCAGCTATGTTGACATGTTCTGCAGGTGGTATAGAGCGATTACGCCCAAGACCCGCATCATGATTGGCGTCGGGGTCATGGCCTACGCCGGTGCTGGCCTCTTTCTCTCCGATAAAGCAGAGGAGAAGTTCGGCCTCACACCTACCGAGAAGGACATGGCCGACCTACGCGAATCGCTGCCCAAAATCTCCACGGTCGACAGGAAGGAGCGATGAACGGCCACGAACCATTGGGACACAAGATCAAACTAGTGTGGACAGCAAAGAACAGCGACGGAAGCTGTGAAGATACCGGTGATTTCGCATCCCCCTCCAGGCGGATGAATTTCGATTTTGCGAAAGCAAGCGTCCAGGTCTCCTTCCATGTGGCCTTAGTCGCAGGCTATCGAAAGACCACTTCACGCATACGACTGCCTGTTGGAAAGCTGAAAACACCAGCAATCGCCGCGAAGCGTAGCTAGCAGCCTCCAAAGCTAAGTGACGAGATTACATCCGTGGCGTTGTTCACATGCTCTCGATCACAAATGAAGTCGACATGTTTCGCTGCGCGATTTTGAACACAAATGTCTCGCTATACTCTGTAGAATGAAGTTCTATGGTCGCAGCCTTTGCAGCTCAGAAAGTTCGTGAACTTATTGAGCAAGCGCATGCCGGGCGCCACCATGTAGCTGATTCATCGCTTACCGAGTCCTGCAACACCAGCTTCTCCGAGCTCAGCCTTGGTAGTTCCAACACAATCCAGTCCTTGCAACGTTGACTCGTACTGTTTCGTCTATCAAAAACCCCAGGTTGCCTGCGCCTGACTGCTCATGGACGATTTGTAAAATTCTGTTCGTAACGGAGGGTTACATGTGAGGTACGAAGGTGATGGAACGAATCCGACGGCCTACTTCTCCGATGCCAATATCAGCAAACGAGAGTCCTGTGACCCTCAAGACTTCCATCCTCAACGAGCTGCCATTGTTAAATGAGGCAACGGCAAATGATGTCCAGCTGGATGATCAATTTCACTCGTCATCCCCAACGTCTTATCCTAGCACACTAGAAAGCACGACAGGAAGTTTGGCCAGCTCAGCAACAGGGTACACCCGCGGACCCCCGTTCAAGGATAGCATGCATACTATGTAGGAGAAGAAGAGTACCACAACCAAGCGCATTGGTCGAATACCTAAAGCGTGTGGAGGAAGTTAGACATGGCCGGAAATTCTTTAAGTCGACGCCTAATGACTCATATCCTACTTACGCATACGGAACTGGAACAACTGGAACCCAACAATCGTTTGTAGGCGTTGGCCCGAGAGAGATGATGCCTGGGGATATGGCGTGCATCCTGCTCGGCTATTCGGTGCCTGTCATTCTACAACCATCCCACAAAGATGTAACTGGCGGCAAAAGGCAGCTTATCAAACTAATTGGCCAGGCATATCTTCATGACCACATGGAGGGAGAAGCCCTAGCTGGATTGGGGAGGGAAGAAGTGAAAAGAAAATCGGTCAAATTCATGATCTATTGAGTTTGCGCATAGTCCGATGGGCTACTAAATGCCTTCAAGACAACCAGGCCTCCACCTTCGCCATCTCATGGTTGCCATTGTGCAGAGCTTCTCCGCGCCATTTCCCGACAAGCTGTCAAATGGTCTCGGTCGCGTTGCTAAGCTCAGCTACCATGATGACCGAGTCTGGATTGTGACTGTAAGCTACTTTCGAGCAACAAAATGCGCTGCATTGGCGATGCTACCAGGAATATCAGTGCCCGTGATCAGCTGTGGTCCGACAGAAACTTCCGACATGGCTCACTCAGGCCATTTCCTTCGATGGTAAGACTTCTCCGCCGCCCTCCATGACATCGATCAGAATCTTCCCAGCAACGGAGCCCTTCTTATGTCTTACGAATGCTTCCGGTACCTGCTCGAAAGAGAATGTCGAGTCGATGGCTGCCCTCACTTTTCCCTCTCCCATCCACACTGCGATCTGTGCCAGGTCTTTATGCACGTTTGTCGCGATGATCGGAGTCCATTTGGTCTTCGATCCTCCGAGCCAGGACGGGCGCATCGAGCCGGAATACATGTTGACAGCGGACGCAGCGTTGATACTGCCACCTACTGAGGCGAAGTGCCGCTTCTTTCCCGGCACCATGATCTGGTCGCAAAGCGTGTACAGCTCAGGAGGCGACCCGCCAATTGCGTCTACAACGTGCGCAAAGACGTGGCCTCTTTTCTGCAGCGCCTTGAGAACGTCCTCACGCTTGTAGTCAATCACATCGTCAGCACCGAGATCTGAGCAAAGGCGGATCTTCTCCGTAGAACACGTGACCGTGACACTGCATCCCAGCGCCCTGGCAATCTGAATGCCAAACGTGCCAACGCCACCAGAGCCACCGTTGATCAGGACCCGATCACCGGGCTCAACAAACGGCGCGAGGCTCTGGTACGCAGCTAGGGCACAAGTGCCGGCGGTACCTGCTTGGCGCGGTGACACTCCTTGCGGTAGCACCGCCACGCCTTCGACTGGCGCGACGATGTATTCAGCAAGTGAGCCCTGCTTCATCGGATCCATGCGCCCGAATACCACGTCGCCGGGCTTCACGTCCGTGACCTTGCGGCCCACGGCGACGACATGCCCGCCGTAGTCGTAGCCCGGCGTGTTGGGATACGAGACACCCAGCACCTTGGATACGCCGCCTAGCTCGACGGGATACCAGTCGCCTTTATAGATGCTAGATGAGACGACGCGGATGAGAAGGCTGTTCTTGTCGAGATGGTCTGCAGTGGGCCGCGGGATGGTGACGAGTTCGAGGTTGGCAGTGATGTTTCCTGGGGCGGTGATGCGCCAGGTTCTGCAGGTGGTGGTGTCGGAGGACATGGCAACAAGCGGATGTTTGATGGAGAAGATTAAGAGATATGCTATCTTGTGTCCCAATGTCGAGATTCAGGATGTTGTGATACTAACAAAAGATATCGTCGTCTGATACATCATCATCCAACTTGCGCAACACATCTTGTATATCCAACTCACACAACATGCTTCTTACTCGTACCTCTCCCTCGCCCACCCCTCTCATCAGGCAGACTTGTCCTATACACCTCTCATCATTCCCTAAGAACCACCGTCTCCACAGGTTGCTCAGCCACATGGGCCCCCAAGCACTCTCCCGACGCTTTCCGTCGACCAAAATTTATGTAATAACGCCGGTGTTGTAGAGTTAGCACCTGATGTGAAACGAGGCCAGGACGTGCAGTTGTCTTGTGTGCGAAAGCGGTGTGGCTGAGAGCTGACTAGATTAGTGCCCGTTGAATGTGCTCAAGTATGGTGGCCTGAATCGAGCCTCAAGGAGAAATGCCACTACGGGCTGCGATCGGGTAAGGGCAAGGCTTCGGGAGATGACTAGCTAGTGTTGTCGAGTAGGGCACTATTCAGCTGCAAAACTTCAAGCCTCGCAGAGACAGGTGTGGCCATGACAAGCGTATGCTTACGAAGAAACAGGTGTCATTGTTTGGTGTATAATAACTAGAAACTCGTGCGCACAAACTATATTGCAATCAATTTCATGAAAGGAATATGCTGTAGCTGATTTTGAATTTGTATGATGCACTCCCTTCTACAATTTCTATTACACCGTCCCCTCCAAGCCTGACTTGAACAGCGCCCTTCGTACGCATTAGAGCATATCGCCCATGCTAGAGTAGTAACATTAAATCTTCGTCACTCTGGATTTAGACACGTTAGCGTTGTCTGGGCCTTCGAAAGTCAGTCTCGTACACACTTGCGTGGGCAGATTTATGTAGGGTCGCTATGTCAACTGGTACCTCAGGCAGAAGCGAGACTCTAATCCTGGCTGATATAACCCCGCACTTCTTCTCATAGGTCACATGGTTGTATGAGTCGCCACTATGCTTCACCGGTATTCTTAGATTCTTGAATAAAACCCCCGACTCAGCCTTGTAGCATTTCTTAACCTCTCACAACTGTACCACTAATTTCTTCACTTGAACAAACAAGAACATGACTAGGCCACGAAGTGCTTTTCCATATCAGCCTCTCTCCCAGCCCCTCTCCAAGCCTTTCCGTGGGGGATTTGAAACTCGACTAGTACGCCTACATCCAGGTGCCTTCGATGATTGCGTATATTGCACAATTTACCATGCCAATATCCTGGAAAGGCAACCCCAAACAGAGTATACTGCATTGTCATACGTATGGGGCGATGCTACGAGAACAAAACCTATCCAACTTGGTTACCATCAGCTCCCCACAGCTGAACCTCCTCATGGACGGGTATCAGCTACGTCCCCAGGGATGGGTTGCTACGAATCGTTCCAAGTAACGACAAATCTAGAGAGTGCATTACGACATCTACGAAAGCGCGCTTCAGAGCGTATACTTTGGGTCGATGCCATCTGTATCAACCAGTCTGATTGGGAAGAACGTCTGTCGCAAGTGGAAGGGATGGCGGCTGTGTACCAAAATGCCGTTAAGGTACGCATTTGGCTAGGTTCTATCAATGATGTATCCGTTTCAACGGCCAATTTACAAGAGGAACTTGAAAATGTTCAATCAAGACAAGTTCCAATACCCGGAGAATCCTCGCAGCCTGTCTTGTCTCCAGAAGAGGATACAGGAGCAGTCTCGGGAAGAAGAAGAAAGGCCGTTGAGACAGTACTACTTGCAGCAAGGGACTACATCATGGACGAAGGCCATCTGTCCCGCCAGGAGACAGGAGATAACTGGTTTCCTGATGAGTTAGCATTTCTCGGAATACAAATGATAGCTTCGCGGCCCTGGTGGCGACGAGTTTGGGTCATTCAGGAAGCCACACTTCCAAAACAAGATCCAGTCATGCAATGCGGCCGAATTGAAATCAAATATCGCAGGTTTCTCGAGTCGGCTAAACATTGCATGTTTCAAAATGCGCCGTCAGAGCTTTCCAGAACCCAAATATCCCTCACTGTCCACGGGATGTTTGATGATGGACACAACCCGCTCGAGGTGTCGCTTGCGAATCGTCTGCTTGCATACCTGAGCTGCATGAGTGGAAATTTCGAAGTGACTGACCCTAAGGATAGGATAAATGGAGTGCATGGTTTCCTCCGTATGTGCGGTTGCCATGACAACATTTTCTTCTATATTTTCTTTCTCATGGCAAGAGGCAAGTGCGAACAGAGCCTTGCTGAATACTTCCATCGTGTTGCGATTTGGATACTTTTTGATCCTCAGCCTAAATCATACCCACTTCGAATCTTAGAAAGTGGGCCCAGCAATGTTGAGGGACTACCATCGTGGGTTCCAATGTGGGAATCGAAAAAATGGATTGGAAGGGATAAAAACCACGGAGCACCAGAAAGTAAGTATGATATCCTTGCTCAAGGTACTGCAATGGGAAAGATATATCGCCGATCGACAATTAGTGTTTGCGATCGATGTACTGCGATGTACGAAAAGAAGTGGGGGGCGCCGAAAAGTATGTTTGATATCACTGTCAGATGTACTGAAATAAGAATTCGGAATGCGTTGGCGCTGGGACGAGTGATCACCACAGTGGAAGTTCACCCAGTACAAAGAAAGAATGACGTGAATACGCTACGAAAAGCCATTGTCGAGGTCGAGCAGAGGATTGTAGCAGCTCTCAGATCTTTGAACATACCTCATGCTGGTACGAAAACACATATCAAGAGATTTCGGGATTTTGTCCGTCTCAATTTTTGGGACGTTGATGCAGTAGATGGTTCTGACCCATCTAATCATTGCACGACATTGGAAGATTTTCTGCAATCTAAAAGGAAATCGAGCAACAGAAAAGGGCATCGGCGCGATCGCAAGGTTTCGGCTCATCGAACAGATCCCAGCATTTTGAGTCCCTGTTCGATTGAGAAACTAGGTAGCTTCTTTGGGCATGTGAGACATCTTGTCATTGGATCAAATATCGTCGGGCACATGTTCGAGGAATCGTTACCTTCCTGGCAGTGTGGTGACAGGCTGTATCTCATACCTGAGTGCCGCTGGGTCCTCGGTCTTCGACGCAGTGGCATTGGATACCGGTATATGTATAGGGTGTTCGTCTCTGACTTGGAGTGGCAACAACGCAAGCAGCAGTTCGATGGCAGAGGTATTTATGAGAATATCGTTCTTGTATAATGACAATATACTGTTCTCTTGAACAATTCCCTGCACACCTCCACTTGAATCGCATGCCATCACATCGCATCGTCGCCTGCCTGCCCAACTACATGCAGAATTCTCTTTTCCAACCATATCTACATATTATCGCCCTCCAAAGATATCTGTGCTCCCTACTAGTAATAGCAAGTCGACGTACCATCTTATATAAGGGCTGCGTCTCCCTATGACATGCAGGGTAACAGCTGCGCTTTTGACATGCCCCAGACTATATGTATTATCTCACAAAGTCCTTACGAACTGCCAGCAGACGAATTGCCAGACCAGAAACAGCCGCGACAGAACGATTGATCGGCAGCATCTGGAAGACTCCCCATGTTAAATATAGGATGTTGCTATACTTATGATGTATCAGCTACAGAGTTGAAGAACATCTATTAGCAGTTCATACGCCCCATTAGCGCGAGTTCGACTGCCCGCAAAGAAAAGCGTTCACTATGCACACATTGACCTGAACTATTCAACACATGATTCAAAATCTTAAATATACACTGTCTAACACAAATAAACGCAACTCCATAGTTGAACTCTTACCTTTCTTTACAAACACGTGCGATTTACGGTTCGGCAAATGCATCGTCGTCATCGTCATCAAGTGTAAACGCCTCTACCATCATATCCCTGATGAACCTCGGGCCTCTTGTACATTGCCTCTTCCCATCCCTGACTATGTAGTCTCTGCCCTCCCTGAATATCCCAGGAGTGTTGATCCAAAAGCTGAGGCAGGTAGCATCATCTTCCTTCTCAAACCTCCCGCCCTCGTTCAAGAACAGGAGAGCGCGGTAGGTCATCATATCGTTGTCCCTAGCCCGCGGGTCCGCTCTGATGTCGTCCGTCAGGTTGTTCTCGACTACCTTGTCGTCGCAGGTAACCCAGAGCGACGTTGTTTTTGCTTTCTTTGGATCGCGTCCATGTTCGCCGCCGTCGTGGTCGCGCTTTTTGGATTTGTATTGTTGGATGTAAGTGAGTGTCTCGGGCTCGTAGTGGCGCATGAGCATGTATTTGATCCTACTGGCTCCGAGTCTGTCTTTTTCTTGGCCTGTGTTGAATACTGCGGTGTCAAAGACCCACACGTTTTCAAAGTCGGCGTCTGGCTCGCTTAAGAAGGTTTTTTTGTACTTCATGTGAAGCACTGCTTTGCTGGAAATAGAGCTGTGCCTTGCTTTGTCCGTCTTCGATTTGTCCAAAGTGCTTTTATTGCCTTTCAGGTTCAACCATTGGGTCAGTGTTTTGTCATCCATGTGAGCAAAGTCGGGTAACTTGGTAGTGTTTCTGGGTACACCTGTCTTGGGTACTGTGGGTGACTTCCAGGCCTTTGGGTCGTTGCGGGGAATGTCATATATGATGCCATCAATTTCCAACCGGGTCGTGAGTGCCGAGTCTTTGGTACCCTTTGCACGATTGGCCTCTTCAATTTTAAGGTATCTAACATGCTCAGCAAATTGGGCTAGAGACACAATCCCTCGAGGCAGTGTGTTGTTCTTTTTTGCTTCCTCGTATTGTGCTCGGTATTCTTTGTCACTCGCCTTGTCTGGCTCTTCTTCATTTAGATTTTCATTCCCGTTGATCTGATTCAGAGCAGCCAGAAGCTGCTGCACTGTGATGTTTAGTCCCAGCATTTCCATCATTCGAGGATCGAGACAAAGAGGCAGCTCGTCCGCTGTCTTCGTACTCTCTTGCTGCGTGCGAATCATATCCTGTATTTTCTGACGAGTAGCTCTCGAGCTAAATCCTCTCTGGCCTCTAGAAAACCTCCCCGAGCCGCTGCCACGCTTCTTGAAGTGAGCATGCAGGTCTTCTAGTGCCCGGGGATGTTGGTAGACGTGGTTTAGACATGCAAACATGTGTGGCCCACATGCTCCAGAATCGTGTGCCGTGGTGTTGTCGCTATTTTGATGCGGTACCCATTTGAGCGTAGATGTTGTAAATCTACCGCGCTCGCGACCAAGAATTCGGTCATAGCCGCACAAAACTTTGCCAGCGGCTGTTCCGGCATTCAACATGTGGTTGATCGAGGCAACTCTTCTGCCATTCCGGGTCTTGTATTTAATGTCAAGTAGTCCATCGAACCACCTGGCAACTTCGGTTTCGGTGTCGATAATCATGAGACCCCAATGTGTACCGCTGTACTTGAGAACCCTGTCCGTTTCTTCACTGTCGTTCGACCTTGGCTCATCGGTTTCCGATTTTTCGTTTTCTCCTTCCTTGGCTGTCTTGCTCTTAACAGCGCCTCTCTCCGAAGCATTCTTGGGTTTTCCGGACTCTTCACTGACTGGCAAGCTTTCTTCTTCACCTACTTTAGGTTCGCCTTCCTTTGCCTGTTCTGAGGTATCCGTTGTTTCCTCCGGTGTTGAAGGAATACTCCTGTCTCCATCTTTATAGCCTTTCTTTGTCTTGTCGCCCTTTTTGCCATCATCTTTCATGGCGGTAGATGGAGCAGGAAGCATGCCATCATTACACGGCACAATAATCCACCGTTTGCCGCCAACCTGTAAGCTCTCTCTCAGAAGATCATCAGAAGCCTCAACCTTTCGCGCGCCAGACCCGATCACGCACAATTGAGTTGCGTCCCAGATTGGCAAGACAAAGCAATTCGATTTCTTTTTCATGTCTGTGAGAAGGGACAGCGACAGATCGATGCTTTCATCCAAGAACCAAGCACGTGGTCCTGAGGTATGAAGAAGTTCCAGGAACTCGCCAATCTTGATGGCTGAGGTCTTTCGGAGGATCTCCAAATCTTGCTTGGTTTCATATTCGAGGTAGGTTGTTTTGTTCAGCCATTTGTCGACGGTCTCCTTCTTCGTCGGTGGTCTTTCAGATGGCCCGCTAGCCGGAACGTCAGACATGATGGATGCGTTGATTTTGAGGGTTTAGGTGTGTGCAGATGGTGCTAGTTTCGAGTCGTAAGATGATAGTCTTGACGGCGACGGTGCAGCGCATCGGCTGCCATGTGTCAACTTAAGGTAATGTACACGTGGGGGTATTGGGGACAAAGAAATAGAAGAAGCGTATCTCAGAGTGATATCGAAAGCAGAAACATACTTTGACAAAGACTGCTCGGCTATTTGGGGCTAGGTGTCGCCTTTATGTACATGATAAGTGTGCTCAAAGGATGGCCCCGACCATGTGGTGTAAGCTCGCTCTGCAACGGAATGCGATATACCGAATACTGTCCATCCGACTTTAACTATATATCAACATGAGACTCGGTATCCATTTTCCAATATCGTTGCGCTGATGTCCAGGAATAATCTTTTGCTCCCCAGTAGGCAGGCTACGCGATGTCAAGTCTCGCACAAAGCAAGGTGTCCGACAATAGAACCATGCGTACTTTTCCGAGACAAAGGCTGTAACGTCTGATCGTGCCACAATACATCTCTTTCTGATCTGTAAGAACAAAGGAAGAAACATAACCAAACAGATGGCACCCCAACTCATCGTTCAATTACGAATGTCTGGTTGCCGCTGGGAGCGAGAATCTTTCAAAATCAGAGACGCGTATTCTCCCTTTGTAGAGCCCCAGCTTCAAGGAAATCGAACTGAATTTGCTACCACTCCTACAGTCTCCAAATCACTCTTTCGCATCCTCGACTTCCTCCGCCCCTTTCCAACTCTCCGGCCACTTCGCTCGATTTCCACTATAATCCGAACACGGGCCTCTTCGTACTGGTTGCGCGCGTGCGGGTAATGTTAGAATTTGCATGAATGCGAACTGTAGCGACCGCAAGCAGCTCGCATTACCTCGCCACAGTTCCACGTGGTCAGGTGGTGTTCTCAAGCGTCGTGGTAGTGCCGCTCAGGTGGTCGCCCTGACGACGGGCAGCAAAACCTTGGCGTGCCATATTTGCGCTTGACACACCGCCTGGCCTGGTCCACGCTCAACGTACCCCAAGCAGCCCCCTCGACCGCAAAATACACCTCACCTCACTGTCACCACCGAGTTTTGGATATCAAAAGACCCCATCCACCACCCACCTTCCCTACACACAAAGAAACAAGCACAATGGTACGTCGTCTCCTTTCTTTCGCGCGCAAATCCCACGGCCAACCCCGCGCCCTCCGATTCCGATCGTTGGTTGGTTGGCAACGGCAGGGACGACGGGCGCTGGCAACACAAACAACATTCCCATTTGCCTCGCCTTGTGTCACCTCGCCTGCTTCAACCGCGCAACTTCTTCTTTGACTCGACAACACTCCGCACCGCACACCGTCGCATTCAAAGAACAGCCATGGATAACACCGCCCAGGCCTCCACAAACTACCGCGAAGCATTCCAGCTCTTCGACAAGCGCGGAAACGGCCGCGTCGACCGCTCCGCCCTCGGCGACTTGCTGCGCGCATGCGGCCAGAACCCAACGCTCGCTGAGATCACCGACCTCGAGCGCGGCGTAGGCGCAGACTGTACGTCCATGCCCATACCATCTACCTCCGCTCCGTGCATCACTAACGCCCCGCAGTCGATTTCGAGACCTTCAGCAAGATCCTCAACCGGCCCGGCGGGTTCCGCGAGCCCTTCGACATCGAGGAGTACATCCGCGGCTTCCAGGTGTTTGACAAGGACCGCTCGGGCTTCGTCGGCAAGGGCCAGATCAAGTACATCCTGACGAATCTGGGCGAGAAGATGAGCGAGGAGGAGGTGGATGAGCTGTTCAAGAGCACGATTGATGCGAGCAATAATGAGGTGGATTACAGGGAGTTTGTCAAGACGATTGCGGAGAACTAGAGGGGAGCGGATTTTCTTTCGATTCACACTCTTCGCATCATATCACGACTCGGCATGCATACATGATATGAGTCTCTTCGGGTTTTGGGGGCATGCTGGGTATATCGGCGTTGGAAATGGTCATGGGCCTGTCGTGTTTCGCAGGCAGAAAGGGGTGATGTGCATATAGTCACTAAGCACAATCGCAGACATCAACTTCACACACGTAAACTACCCGCACATGTCAAAGTGAAAAGATGCATTCAGCAGATAGAGTCGTGTTTTGATGAAACAGGGATATAGATTCTGTTTTTTGTATCCAAACTGTGCGACGCTTGTTTGTCTATGATAACATGTAGGCTCTTCTAGGAAGCGTGAAAAGCCCTGCGCATTCGCCAATGTGGGGTATCGTGATGTATGAAAAGGGAAAACCTGTGCCATGCCATGCCATGCCATGCCGCTCCTCCTCTTGAACCCGGAAAGAAAAGAAAAGAAAAGAAAAAGAAACAAGCCAATAAACGCCCAAGCCGATCCTCATAAGTAAACATCGGGACGTGAACTCAACACCGGGTGGCGGGGACCCTTACGCCTTCACCTCCGTAACCCCCACCTTCTCCATGCCCTTCTCGCCCTCCGCACTCCCCTGCCGGCCCAACACCATCTCCCTCGTCGTCATGAACCCGCCGGGCAGCAAGAATACATAGTCCTCCCTGCGCCCGCTCTTCTCCACGCTGAACTGCTGCCAATCCAACTGATACCCGACGACCAAGCTACACCGTCCACAGCGTTGAAGATACCTCTTCTCAAACCCGGTATCACTCCGGATGATCTCGGCGCTCTTGTCGATGCGCGTGGACAGCAGCAGGCCGTAGTGGTCGCTGGGGGCGGAGGACTTTGTGGGCGCGGGAGGGAGGGGCATTATGTGTGCTTTGTCGAATGTGTGAGAGCGGGAGGGGAGGGAGGGCAGCGGGGTTGTTGTTGCGAGCAGCAGGTGTGAGCAGAGGCAGTGGTAGGTGTAGACTGTGTTGCTCGCTTGCAGGGAGATTTTCTCCTCGGGTGTGGGGGAGGGCATGGCGAAGTAGGCGCGGGAGGAGGCGACGAGGTCCATGGTTGGCGATGTGTGGTGTGGTAAAGCGTTGGTGTTGTGGTGGTGGAGTGTTTGGTGGTAAGTTTATAGTGGGCGGCGGGTGTTTATTTTGTTGAGTATGTATGCGGGATGATGCGCTCAGCGGGGGGTGTGTGAGACGGAGATGATCAACACAGGTGATGTAGGATCGGGACTCCGAGTATCTGATATCCAACGGCTTGACCGGCTTGCCGCGTGGCTATATGTATATGTAATCGGCAGAGTGGGAGATGTTGTTGGCCGGTTCCCGCTGAGTGTGACGGACTCGGAGCTCTTATACTGGCGCCGATGTGTCAGGGTCCAGTACAGGGCGCTTTGACTCAAGCCGATCCTCTTCGAAGCCGGAAGAGTAATAGGAATGTGGAGCGGGAATCCTCTCGACGTGTCTGGGATGGGTCGCGCGCCAAGCAATCTCTACAGTAGCGGCGTAATACGACACGGTGGAGGGCAATTTGTTTTGAAAGAGGAGTTGCTTCGATGAAACCCAATACTCCAGCCAAGCACTACTCTCACGGACTCGGCGGACCTGTGCTGTGGAATGGTGGACAGAGCTAAAGCGAAAACACTAACGCGGTTGGTAGGCCAAAAGGTCCACAAGACGCTCCACTAAAGCAACAAGTATTTGATAAGGGATTTGAAGGCTGGCAGGTCAACAAAACACCGTGGAGCTGTCGAGGAGCTCGGGTTTATAACGAGCGCGCCGGGCTTGTGAGCCTGGGGTAAGAGTATTACGCCGGCGGGAGGTGTTGCGCCATGGCACTGCCAACCCCACGATGTGTCCCCACGGTGTTGGAGTGGTCAGAACGGCACACGCGAATGAATTTGCAAGGAAACACCACGCGGAAGGCTATGCCGCCAGCGCATGTGACACGGCCAAATTAGGGTCCAAGTCTGCCCCCGGCCAGACCAGCACATCGCGTAAAGCTGCCACACGCCGACGCATGGAAGCCTCGCTGGAAACTTCCGTTTCAGCGGTGTCGGAAACACGACCCGCCCCGAGTCTGACCTGCTACCCGCCAAACGCCCTCCAGCAGCTGTGATTGTCGCATACCGCCCTTGGCAATTTCATTCAAGCTGCATTTGAGTTTCTTGTCGTTTTGCTGGGCAACAAGGGAGACGCAAGCATGCCGCTCACCAAGGATGTTATCAAGTTTGGCTCCTTTGTCGTGACCTCGCAGGTGCGTCCATTCTCACATGCCATTGGACGTGCCAGATATCAGGAGCCTGCACGTGATGGAGGCTGTTCAATAACTCCAAGTATGTGTCTAACGGAGAGCGTACTGCTAGGTCTTCCACCTATCGCGCCTATCTTTTGCGATAGTCAACCTCAAGCCTCTGCTCCCGGGTCACGTCCTTGTGTCGCCGCGCCGGGTTGTGCCGCGCTTCAATGATCTGTCCGCTGCGGAGGTGCAGGACTTGTTCTTGACTGTGCAGCGCGTGTCGCGCATGGTCGAGCGTGTGTTTGGTGCGTCGTCGCTCAATATCGCCATTCAGGATGGTGTCGATGCGGGGCAGAGCGTACCACACGTCCATGCGCATATCATACCGCGGAAGAAGGACGATCTAGAAGAGCAGGGCGGCACAGATGCCATTTACCAGATGATGGAGGGCGAGGATGCAGACCTGAACAAGCAGCTCCAGGAGAAAGAGCGGGCAGCCAGAGCGGAGCTCGCGGAGGACGAGAAGAAGGGTAAGTTCCCTGCCGTCGACAACGACAGCCGCAAGCCCCGAAGCGACGAGGAGATGCAGAATGAAGCAGAATGGCTTGCACAAGAGATGGCCAAGGACGAGCAGATTGCTTGAACATCCTGCGACGCCCATCCGACACGACTCGAGGGCATAAACGGTGTTTCCCCACCTGCACCTGTCCCAGCCAAGTCAGTCACGATTTGTTTCTCCATCAACCCCAGGCCAGACTCTTCCGCATCCCCGTGACAAGGCTGGCGATAGTACACCAATATCTGCACGCAGACACGCGTGGTGTGGGGTGCATAACACCCTCTAGACCGAAACGTCATCTGCAGCGACACTGCACAACAATACTTCACAAATTTTGTCCGTCGTGAAGGGGGTATAGATCATCAAGCAACAATACAAGTTATTGCCTCCAGCTCTTGGCTCGACTTGGTGTTTCTTATGCTGCTGGGCGTGTGTGTTGTGCAGGGTAAAGATCCCCAGATCTTTGGTGCCGGGTGTTCCCTTTCAGGCAGAATGGCATCATGGGGTGAGAATGCGCTAATTGTACTGCTGCTACGCATGTGTGCGATCGACTATAACCAAAGGGCTACCGATGTCGGGTTCTGCCAATTTGAACAGACATGACACTGGGTCGGCAATCGGCAGAATGTTTGCTTCCATACTATTGACTACAAATGGTGAGCTTCCACGAGGCGGATCATTGTCTGACTATCTGGCGCACACGAGTGAAAATGGAGGCAAGCAGGTGACTGACCGCACGCTGTAAATTGTAGCTTTGGGATGTCATTGATTTCATTGCTGGCGAAGCCGTGTTGTTTTATGGATGGAGGCTTTGTGTTTGTCACTTCTCGTCATACCCGTCGCTAGCGCGAGGCTACCCAGGTAGTCTTCATCCCCAGTTGTAGGACTAGCACCTCGTAAGCTCCAACTTTTACTACCTGTCGCAGCTTCTCTCCGTCTTTCTCTTACTTGCTCCTCAGCCTCGCTAGCTGATAACTTGAGCGACGCGGTGCAGCGCGCCAGGACCTGCTCACTTGCGATCAGGCCCCCAAGGCACGCTGCTGCCTATCTTGATCACGACGCGGTGTTCACTGCGCCACCTCGCGCTAGGATACTTAAAACGCGTAGAAGCCGAGCAAATTAGTTACCGACAACGATACCAATCTAGCTCCAGGTTGTGAATGAGTCCTGCTACTTTGTTCCACCACAGATTCCAGAGTGGAAAGAAGAACACCCTCTGAACAACGACCTCAACTTTCAAGCGATGGACGACGAATTCAACCTCCAGGGTATGAACGGCCCGTTCCACATCGATGCACCACAGGCCCGCGAACACCCTCAGTCCAGCGGGTTAACTAATGAGTTCATTCGGGCTCCACGTAAGCAACTAGCCCAAAAGATAAGAGCAGTCGTCAAGAAGGAGAAAGAGGTAGCTCAGCTCGATGCTGAAGATTCGCCGTCGTATATTCGGCAAGGCCACTTCCGTTTGATGGACCTTCCGGCAGAACTACGTGTCTACATCTACGAATCCCTACTGCCACACAACAGCATCATCTCCTTTGATCGCAAGGCAAGCCCTCCGTATCTTAGCCGAAAAGGTACCACCCGACGTCTGGTAAGCAACGATCCGCCCCAATGGAGTGTTAAAACGACAAGCAAAGGACCTAGCACCTCCTTCCTAGCCCAACGAAGATCCCTCCAAGAATATGGAAAATTACCTCTCAAGAGACGGAGCGGAGTGCTACTTCGAAAGCCCGAACCGGCCCAGACCCAACTTTTCCTAGTTTCTAAAGCAGTTTCCACCGAGGCCAAAGGTACTCCCTTCCCGTTTGCCTAATCACTTCAACACTAACCCATCCCAGCAATCCTCTACGGCTCAAACACATATCTCTTCACCATCAACAGCCACCCACACCAGCCGTCCTCTCTACGCTCCCCTCAGATCTTCGGCGCATTTGGCTACAACGACCGCCAACTGCTGCTGCGCAACCTACGCAGCATCACCGTGGACGTCAGCATCAATGACAGCTCGCACTGGGACGTGAAGCGCCTGCGCACGCGTCTGGATTACTTCGTCGAGGTACTCAAACAGCACGCCGATGACGCAAATCAATCGTCGCTCCTCACACAACTCACCGTCTACATGGCGGACCGCTCGCACCTCCACTGGCGCATGCGCAACGTCGGCCCGCCCATGGCGTCTGAGAGACCCGAGATCGACAAGTATATGTTTGGGCTCGAGAGCCTTGTGGGTTTGACTGGGATCAAGGATGTTACTGTTGGTGGTGTACCGGAGTGGTATGCGAAGTGCTTGCAGCTGTGTGTGCAGGGCAGGGGGGGTGAGGTGAAGGAGACGGAATGGCCGTTGGTGAAGGTCAAGCACGCTAAGAAGAAGAAGGTCAAGTGGGTGTCGACAAGGCAGTGGTGGCAGCCAGTGTGGAATTGGAAGGAGTTCGCGGAGAGGAATGGGGTGGAGATGCCGGAGAATGTGGATAAGTACTGGATGGATCAGCCTTGAGGGGGGAGTGTGGCGGCGTTTGGATACGACGATACGCTTGAGTAATAATGGACAAGGGTAACTCATACGACGCGAGATATCATGAACTTCATATAAACATTGTAATCCTCCTCGCCCCCCTATCATACAC